TTTGCACAACAAAGAGGTGTGGAACAATTCGCAGCAGGAGGGGAAATAGCATTGCATCAAGTTCGGCTTTTCCCTTTCTATTCAGAACCCCAGGGGCAATCGGTTGTCTGATGTCTGCCAGTTCCGAAGACGTTGGGATGATTCAGATCAGGTTTGATCGACGAGCAGTTCAAGGGAAGATGTTCTGAGACCTGCGGTAACGGAGGAGCTTGACAACAACAATTGAAATGCGGGGTGCAGCCAGACACATTTGACGCAAAGCATCAACGGCTGTCGCAGCGCTCTTGATGGCATACCCCAGTCGCACATCATGCCAGATCGATTCCTGCAAGTTGAAAGCGGAAGCAAGACACGGCATTCTCGGTCACAATGCTCTAATGATCACTGTCTTAACATCAGATCCAGTTCGTCCCAACTCTCTGCTGATGCCACATCTACCCTAAATGATCGACTTTGTTGGCGAATGCCGAGGCACATTGGAGGTGGTCGCAGCCCTGGGTTCTCTTTTGGGGCAAATCCAGGTCCAGGTCAAGGTCCCAGCGCTACAGAACAAGAAAAAGGCCGGGGGCCATTTCGTCTTTTCCGTATTTGTAAATCCAAGTTGCGTTGTGCGCTCGTAGCACAGGGCCGCTGAGGTGCCAACGTCATTCTTGCAGTCGGCTGTCGACTTCATGCATTCATGTCGCGGCCTGCCAGTGGCACAGTTTCCAAACTCGTTGCTACCTCTGTTACCGACAAGCTGTGTGGCAGTCTCCCGGTAGTCGTGGCTCTATGCTACCATAGTGCCCGATGAGTGCCTGTGCAGCGTTGCATCATCGGATGATCTTGCCAACATCTCAAGTCGAGGCATGGAATGGTTCAGGCACTTACCATGCAGCTGGAACGGAACAGCTCGGCAACTGCGTCGCCGCGGGCCGCTAGCCCTGCAACCGTTGACTGCTGCAGAGGGATAAACTCAAAGCGTGCATGAAGATCCAAAGCGAAATGAAAGGGTCACTGAATCCATCAGTCTTGAGGTCAACGCATTGTCAGCTACGCTTTTGGGAACCCGAAGGTCCAGACCGTTGATATTTCTAACAACAACGCTTGGCGATCAACCCTGAGCCAACAGCCATGACGAATGACTTGTCGGTTTTTTTTCTTCAGAATTTTCTGACAACGGGAACGAGGGGTCACGGGCCTAGCTTTTAGAGACGCAAGGGCCACGAACGTGGTGAGGTTGCAACCCGCCATCGGCAACCCAGCTTTCCTCGACTGGGCAAAGCCTGTCCAACAATGGACAATGGACGATACTCAATCACATGTAGACTCTCTCTCAGGGATAGTGGCGGACGCGCCAGAACTGCCAGGGCCCTCGAGCAGCACCAGGATAGAGGGTGGAAATGAGGAACCACCCAACGGACCGCATAGGCGAGCTTGCTTCTTTGGCACACGATTCGATCTCCGAGCATTAACGCAATCGGTGGATTGAATCTTGCAGAACCCATATTTCTGGAAGCCCAGACCACACTTACATACTGCTTATATAGTCGACGATGCGGCAATTTCGACGTTCGTCGAGACGCGCTAGCCCTCGCAAAACCCCATCATGCGTACTCTACGAAGTAAGAAATATCAAGAAGCAACCGGCGGTGACAGTCGAGAGACTGTCCGGTGCAATGACATGAGCAGGGAACCAGCGGAACAGCTCCCGCATCCTTCGTCCCATGTCTAACAGTGCTTGGACGCAATTCTTGTCAGGATCCACATGACTGACAGGCCTAATCAAGCAGGGATACGAGCGGACGTGGTCCGGCACGACCCTCAGCAGGTCGTGTCCTGGTCAGACTGATGAATTGGGACTAGAAGCCCTCGGTTTCTTTTTATCCAAAGCAGGACAGACGGGCAGACAACGAAAGGCAAATTGTCAATAACGCCAGTGTGATAACGGAGACAACCTCTTCTCGCTTTGCCGCCTAGCGGTTCTGTCCCCTGCCAGGTGTCTCGTTCAGCCCGGTACCCACCATTATTGCGCTTCCGAGACTTAACGAGCGGGTGCTTCCTGAACCTGATTTCTGCAACAGACTGGCATCTAGCCTTCCGCTCTGTCATCTGGAGTTGCCTGCCCCTCCAACAGACCCTGGCCGCCCAGTCTCTCTCCATGCCCTCCCACACTTCCTAGACCCCCGTCTTGATGGGACAAGGATTGGAGGAAAGGGCCGCTTGGGCGCAACTTGACGGCATGTACTCCGTCTCCCCGTCCCCTCAAGCACCCTAGAGGAGGGCCCCCAAGATGAGCATAGGATGCGGGATGGGTTGAGATGGAGAATGACAACACCCAGCCAATCGTCAACCATGCTGCCTCAGATGAGACGCCGGGAACCCAGCGCCTGCTGGTCAAAGTCCTCCATAGGGTTCACCATCTGGTCTAGGTGACTCTCCGATGCGCACACGGACTTGAATTTTGCAAGGGAGTGTCAAGGGGAAGATGAGAGGGAGACGGCCTGCTGGTTCTATGGCATTTCGATACCCGGCGCTTATCAACGCGATTAACTACCATGGTATACAACCCGATGCAAGAGGAACATTGCAGAGGGCCAGGAGGGGAGACCACATACCATTTTGAGCGAGCGCCTCTCACGAAGCAGTTTCAGGCTTATGCTTGGGACCAAAAATGTCATCTACCCATCTCTCACCTTTCCGATCTTGTCTGGAACTCCAGGGCTAATGGCACGACGTGATTCGATCATCGCTATATCTGCAATCTCCTCATTGCCAATCTGATTGACCGGCTTCCCGCTCCCTTTCCTTGTACTCCCCCCTTGTCAATTCTTTGGTTTGCTGTGCTTCCTCAAGAGTTTGGGTCAACTACTCTGGTCGAGACCTAACTGGTACTTTTCGTCCTCACACGGCGAACTCAGAAGCATAGACCGGGCAACACTCGATGCCAGGGTGAAGCAAAGCAAAAGACCAGAACCAGATTTGCGAAGTCCGGTGCGTCCGCATTTGAACACTTTACGTCCCTACAAGACTGGGTTCTTTTCGAAAATCTCGCTCCGGCACCCTCCAATAGCTAAAAGACCTTTGCGAGCCTTCGCCACCGCTGAGATTACCGCGAGTCTTTTCTATAAACTCGCCCCATCTACCTTCCCGACTCGATTCTGGAACCACCACACACCTGCGAGTGTTCCAGCGCGTCCGACTCCTTCGAGCAACTGCTTATTGCAGAGTCCTCAAACCTTCATCCTAAGACCCAACGTATTCGCCTTTTGTTTTGCAGCAAGGCCCGACAACACAAAGAAACCAAGAGGCGGTAACAGAGCGAACGAATCAAAACCATCTTGTCTGTCGTCTGAGACACGAGCTACCCGGCCCCCCACGCCCAACCAGCTGTCATCCAAGAATCGTTACGCCGGTGCTAGCGCGGACGTTTGCCTAGTAAGCTGAGATTTTCAACTGGTGGCGCTGGAAGGATACAGCCGTCTGCCGCGGTCCATTCGCCGTCGACCACAACTCTTGGAGCTGTGTTTTAGTAGTTAGGCATTCCTTGAATGCAGCCAGACACCAAGGTACGTAACATATCAACGTTCCTCACCGTTTCTGGCGTCGCTAGGGTGGCTGCTCTCACGACGCTCCTATAACCTCCACGGTCCCTTCACTTGCTCGTCGATCTCCTTGGTCGGCAAAGTTTCGCGCACTCGACCTTACCGGCCATAGTAGAGTTAATTAAACCCCCCTGACTGAGACTTTCCAGAGCTTCCAGGCTTTTCATCTGCCAAAGAACGTGAAATTGGGAACAGGGGTGAGAGCAGTCAAGGGCCAATGCCAAGATTAATAAAGCCTGGAAGGCACTTGCTGACTTCCATATCAAAAGCTTGCAGATTGATTCGCAACCTCACTGCCTTGACGATCAACCGGAAAGATTAGGTACATCTCGTCGATGCCTCACCGATCATACGAGCAAATACTTGGATGCCCGAGAAAGACCAGCACTTGATTGGCACATTCGTTGCCAAAATATTCCTGAATTTGGGGAGGCAAAAAGTCAGTTGCTCTCTTTCATCAACGTAACAACGAGGTACGTGCCTTTCTTTTCTTTTCTCGGAATTTTCCCCCGTCACCTCTCCCCCGTGCGCTCTTCTCTCCTTCGTGGTTGGCCTTCCTGGCTTTGGTGCCTTATTCCAAGCTGTGCTTAGGGTTGTTTTCTTTCTCTGTCCACGACTCACCGGTCTCAGTGTTGGGCTCGACAGCTTCACCGTCCCGACGACCACCACAACGCCGACCTTACGCACCAGCCATAACTTCTGCCAACCCGATACGCCCTGATTATAACTGCCGCATCTGCACGTCACGCATCGCATCGCAGGACACTCGTGAACGTCCCGGCTGCAGCTACTTCTGTCGGGACACCCTCTCGTGCTCTCCCAAGTTGGGTAGTAATCAGCCCACGGGAGCAGGAAGAGCTTGGGAAGCCGACCCAATTTTGACGCCAGGCAATCTGGAAAACTTCCCAACTCTGGTACGCCATCCTGACCAGTGCCGCATTCGCAGCTGGGCTGGACGGCTGGACTCGCCTCGATTGGTCCGCCCCTGACCTCGCTTTGTGCCGTGCCCGCATTGGTCATATCCGCGCTTCGTTGTACCCAACATCGACAGCACGACACGACCCGTTGCCTTTAGAAGTCCACTCGTTAACAATTTCATCGAGGTTTCTTCAAGAGACCTAGAGACGCGTTGTGTCTTCATCACTTGCGCCTCTGAAAACAACCTGGGCAAAAGCCAGCATCGTCAAACAACAGTCGATCTCGGATTTGGCTATCGTGACAGCGTGGGGAGATCGACTTGGGGCACCTCCTCTTTCCTCAAACATCCCGGGCTTGTGGAGTTTTCTTGCCGCCGCGCCCATCCCACGTCCAACTGCTTCATGGCACTAGACCTTCCGGGCCTTCCATCACCAAGCCGAGTGCCTCGAAAGCCATTGCTCGCACCTCTGCTGCCCTTCTCAGCTGACGGACTCGACCATGTCGTACCAGTACCCCCCGCCTCTAGCTTCTTCTGGTTCTGAGATGGACGTGTCCCATCCCGGCTACGCGCCAAACTACGGCGCGCCGGCTCCCGTTCCATCACAGATGAACCCTGGAACCCAAGAGCAGACTCTCAAGGAACGTAAAGAATCCTTCTCACAGGCGAGTCTAAAGTTGAAACGGTCGATGTCCACGCCTAATGTTAGACCACGGCAGGCCAACGCGTCCGATCCAATCCAGTCTAGCCTGGCTGGCGACAAGAAAAGAAACAAGCTTGGCTACCACCGAACGTCGGTAGCTTGTGGTGAGTAGCTGACCTCCCCTTCCTGGTCGCCTCGGAAAGCGCCAGGCTCTCTTGCCCGCTTGATACTGATGGGGATATCGTCAAGGACACTGTCGTCGACGAAAAATCCGATGCATAGCATCGCCTGCGATTGGCGAGAGTCGATGCATCAACTGTATCAGGCTGAAGAAAGAGTGCAGCTTCTTCCCCGTAGACCAGCCGCCGCTGCCACAGGCGACCGATCCACGCCCTAAAGCGCCATCACGGGCTTCCTCTGGGCCCAAGGTCGTTTCAGCTTCGTCGTCTCCTGCCGTAGCCGCTGGGCAGGCTCTTGACGTGTCCCAACGCCAGCAGTACCGTCCTGGCGCATCACATCCAGCTCCAGGTATGGCACCGCCTCCAATGCAACCATCTACCATTGAAAACCTTGGCCCCGAGGCCACAAGTAAGTTTCGGCGCTTGCCAGAGTCTCGCCAACTTGCTGACATGCGAACCATAGTGTCTTCAGGTGCGGCCTCGACCTCCCGCGCCTTTGGCTTTCCGAACCAGTCAGTAGCTTGGATGTCGCCAGAAGTTAGTCCCAACTCTGCAACGCAGGCAAACGACCACAGCGAAACGTGGAAGTCTTACACTGAGCAGTCTCCGATCACACCGGCCTTTTCGCAATATACTTCCCAGGCTCCTACATCTGTCAGCTGGAGCAACGCGAATTCCAACGCACCCGGCGACATGGGGTACTCGTCTTTCGCCACAGGGAGCGCCATGACGTACCCGAGGAACACACCGCTACCTCCACAGTACCCTATGATGCCGCAGCAGAGCCGACAGTTCGGGAGAAAGTCGTCGGCCATCTCAGAGGACATGTATCCAACGCAGATAGCCACACAGTTCCCGAGTATCGACCCGCACAGCGCTTCGCTTTCTGCAGGGGCGATTCCGCCTGCAGGTTATGGCTCTTGGGTACAACAGCCGCACTATAGCTACTCCAGACCGCAAGAAGGCTACCAGGGCTGGACTTACGAAGAGAACCAAGGAAATTAGATGTTGCCAAGAACGAAGGGTTGGCATTTGAATCTGTAAAGTGGACAACGCTTTTCGGGGTGCCATGCTTCCTTGCCAGCGTCATCGAACTCTAGAGAAGGCTGGGAAGTCAAGTCCAGAACCCAGGTTGGTCAGACTTTGTTGCCGCCACCGACCGGTAGAGACATACAGGCAGCAATTGCATGTGGACTACAGAACCGTTGCAAGTTGGAAGAGGCCCAGATCCGCGTTGGGCAGCGAAATCGTTCAGCTTCGCAGGGAAGTTAGATGGGGCATCGGAACGGAGTACATATCTCGTCGACGGCGATTTTCATGAGTAACAAAACAAAGGGGGAGCAAGCATATGATCATTTAAGGGTTTGGGAAGGACGAATTTTATACCCCATTTCCGCGACGACGAGCATTAGAGGTTTGGGAAAGCCGGGGTCCGCGACAAGGGGTTCCCACGAGTCGCCAAGTCATCGATCCATGGATGGGACGCGTCGTAAGGGGAGCAATCTTTGAAACTTTTTGGCACACCTTTTCCTGTTCGGCAAAGAAACGACCACCTTTGGAGGGGCGTTTGAGACGCAGATACTCGAAACGCAATCGGCCGTGGCAACATCCGCAGGACACCACACCCCGCATCTTCTGGCCGTCTACCTCGGGGGTCCAGCCGTCAGGGCGTCGACGTCGGCGCCGGGAGACGTCGGATTTAAGTGCGCAACCATGGCGGGAAGGATGAGGAGTGGGGCCGCAAGGGAGGGCGCGCGGCGGGATGTCGGAGAGGAGAAGCGGGGGATTTCCTATGACGCCTGTCTTGGGATTACACTCTGTAAGGGCGTCGCTTGGCTTGGGTGGTGGGATGGGAGGACCGGTATGGCAAAAGGAGGGTGTGTGACACTGGGTCAGTTGTCGGCACTGGGAGCGGGAAGTGGGAGCGGGATGGCTTTGGGATCGGGACGTGGCCGGTAGCGACGGCTGGGGGAAGGGGTTCACAAAAAAAAAAAGGGGATACGGCATTTCGCATTTCGAGGGTACACGCATATACAGGAAGGGGGGTTTTCATGGACGACTTCATCTCGCCGTCCTATTCCTTCTTCTTCGTCTTCATCGTCTTCTTATTTACCTTTTTTTCTTTTCTTTTTCTTCGTTTTACTTCTCCTTCCCCCTTCGCATACCCTTCCCCGTCGTCGCCCCCTTGCGCTGTTTTTCTTGACTGATATTTCTTCTCACTTCACGCTCACGACTGCGTAGATTTTCACCTTTGCGCCGAGAGACACATGATTGTCACTCCCAGCGACCTTGGACCCCAGATATGTTTTGGTAGTTGCATTGTATTGATCATTTTGAACCGTTACCTCTACCCGTTGTCCGAACCGTGAGCCGCCTCTCTTCCAGTGTCCGCGCTGCTGCTGCTGCTTCGTCCTTCCGTGGCCGCGAGAAACCTTACCGTCAGACTATGAGGAGGAGGCACCCTTTGGGGGAGCTCTTTGGTTTTGCTGCGTGCTCGTACAAGCTACGTCAAGCCGAGCAGACTAGCCCGCCGAACGGCGAACCCCCTGCGCGAGCCCTTGCCCCGCTGCTCCTGCTCTGGCGCGCGGTGCCGAGTGCCATTTCACGAGATGACTAAAGAATGATTACGGGATGACGAGGGCGGGTCTCTCGTTCGTGCATGATGTCTCACCCCGTCGCTAACGTGAGCCCGCCTACTCTGCGGTGGATGCCCGCTTCCCCGCGTGTCCGTCTCCAGGCGCGCGTCGCCGAATCTCGCCCGTGAACCGTTTGAATGTGTCGTTTGCGCGGGCAACGTTGTTCAGCCGTCGCTGATTCGGCACCGGCGACGGGCTCCATACCCCATCGTCTGAAAGCCGCAGCTTTGGCAGTCTCAAAGCAGTGCTCTCCTGGGCGGGCCGTACCGCACGACTAGACCGTCGCGGGAGCGCTTCTTGGAAACGCTGGTTGACGGAAGGGGCCGAGGATTGGGCTGGTCATCTCGTATGAACTGGCAAGCACAGCACGATAGGGCTCGGCTCTTGAGTTCTCAAGACAATATAGTGAAGTAACATTTACACAGCAAACCAGGAGGGGGAAAAAGAAACCCCGCCGTAAAACCTCTCCCCGCTCTCCCGCGCGGGATGCAGCCCGTCGCCATCACGCTCACTGCACCAGCTGCCAGGTGAGGACCAGCAACGTGACGTAGGCGGCGAGGCTCAGGACCGTGAGCAGCGCGACACTGTTGCCCGAGGTGCGGAACTTGCGGACGACGGATACGGCGCCGTGCTCGTCCTCCTTCGGGGACGTGAAAAACTGGCGGTTGCCCTCGTGGCGGCGGAAGATGGCGACGAGCATGACGGCGGCGCCGTAGACGGCGAACAGGGCGCCGATGGCGTAGAACTCGGATGTGAAGATCTTGAGGATGATGAGGGCGAAAGAAAACTGCGAGAGGGCGGTGCGCATGTAGGCGCCCTCAAAGGTGCGCTGGGCGGCGCGGATCTCGACGAGCCTGGGCGAGGATGTGAATCATGAAGGCCGTGGACGAACGGGGGAAGGAGGAAGAGGGCGCGCTTACTCTTCTGCGGTCAGGATGACTGACCGCGCCCGGTGAAGGCGCAGGTGTAGGTGGTCTTGGGGATTCGGCTGTGATGGAAACGCTGGTGAGCGAGGCGGCTCTCCCTCAAAGGGACATGGCAATTCGTGTTGGGAAGCCAGGGACCACGGCACCGCGCAGTCATCGGTTTGCCGTGATCCCGACAGCGGGGAGCGGGCAGTTACACGGTGACACAGAGAAATGAAAAGTCCTTGGGCAAGACAGATTACGAACCTGGAACATGGTTGACGGTTGAGCCTCTGCGCTGCAGGGTCTGTCCAACGACTAAGTTCAAAGCAGCACGGAGACAGTCCACGAGATGCGCTCTCAAGGGGCGTGGATGGTGTTTCGTCAAGTCGCAACTTCAACAATGGTTCACGCTAGTTGTGCGGCGGACGTTGTCGTCAGGTCTTCACGGATGGCGGGACACAGGGCTGAAATGGCTCCATTCCCCAACCCGAGGTAGACGGATCTGCGAAGCGTGGAGGGAGAGGGAGGTTAGAGTTTCTGGGCAGGTGGTCTCCACCATTGCTTGGCTCGAGCCGGTGGTGGCCCAGTGTTCGACACCGGGGTGGATCAGGTGCGGCTGATTAGATAAGCTATCCACCAGAAGATGAGGCACCCCTCCAGGACCATATCCAGAGTCTTGTCTCTTCCCTATCTGCATGGCGTCGCATCTGGTGCCTCCTGGTCGTGTGCCTCTAGCTCATGTTCCACCTCTTCGCTGACGAAAAGATCTCGGTACATCGTCGGTAGACATCAACTTTGAGCAACCATAAGCCGTTGCATGCAACTGCAGACCGGGCCTAACTATAAAAACGATTCGTTAGACGCCTACCGAATGGCTCATCTGGCTGTTATTTCAGGTTTTGTGACGCAACCTTTTTCTCGGCAGCTGCGCTGTTCTGTGGTGCCAACAGATTTCCAGTATAGCTGTGTTAGCCGCCGAAGACCTCGGTGTTATTGGCGAGGCTGATTCTATTCGCCAGTTGCTCACGAGCAGCTTCTGTATCAAGAGAAGATCTGCTAGACGCAGGGCCGAGAAGCAAAGAACAAGCATAGGCACTTTGAAGTCTGCGAAAGCTGCATGTCAACAACCAACATGGCGAGCACCGAATTGGCGGCTCGTCATGGAGCGATTCGAGGTGGCCGTTCACGTGTGACGGGGAGGACGGGGGCTGTTGTGGCGCTGCGCAGCCTCGATGCCGCTTGTTTCGAGCCCCGTGGTCGGCGTGGTGCACCGCCCGGTCAACATTGAAATGCTTGTCTGCTTCGCCCATGCCTCAGGGTCTCCCGACGACGATGAAATACCCGAATCCCCAACGGCGGCTGCGGCTGTGCACAATGGTGCCAGACCCCACCGAGAACAATCGATTCCCCGGTGACCTATGCGGAGCGACAATGGGGGGATTCGGTTTCCTCAATCCTGAAAGCGAGAGCGATACCTATGACGGCCATTACCGAGTGTTTCCCGCTGCACGATCGACATGGATAGCCGCCCCAGAAGGGAAATAATTATCGGTATCTGCGACAACATGGCTCTAGGCTGGTGCCTAGCATTTAGCTTGCCCTCTTCCCCAATGACAGGCACGAGATCTGGGCAACCGGGCTCAAAGATCATGTCGGATCGTGATGCCGTCCCAATGACATCAAGTGTCTGCAAGTCTGATGGGTCATTGGCAAGGTTCTTTCGACGTTGGCACGATAGTGTATGAGTTTGCGACGGTAGCCGGAATTGGAAAATCTGCCTCCTCGGTGAGTACGGGCCGACCGGTCGGATTGTGGCCATCTCGAGCTCGAGGCGATGCGGCAGTGGCTGGTTTTCCCGGACAAAGTAACCAGGCACGCACGAGATGCCACGAGATGCCATGACTTGAAAGTGTGGCCCAGCGAGATGGACGACGAGCAGAGAGATGCGGCCCGAGTGGAGGGGAGGATGGAGGCACAGTAAGCTTAGCTTGGACCTGCGCAACGATGTATGAGGCCGTGGACAGGTTCAGGGTGCGATGTGTGCATTCAATCTGCTGATGTGCCAACTGCGTGTTTGGGTGCCGTTAGGTGGGATCCATTCGGCGGCGGAGCGGTGGGCGAGGAGGACCTGAGATTGGCAAGTCTCCCAGAGTGCCCTGGTCTAGGTCGGTGGTGCTGGGGCTGAGGAAAATGCGCCCAACGACGCCAGAGAGGGGGGGGGGGGGCACGAAGGAGAACGCCTCGCGCGAGTGGAAGAATTAAGACGATACCTCGGTTTCTCGTTGGCGTGGGCAGGTGTCTCAGGTCCCTTGTCATCTGGTTGGTCCCGGCCCCCATTCCGCCCTACGAGCGAGTGCGCCTGTGGAAGGTGCGTTTGTTGTCCATTCACAGGCGTTGTTCCCCTTTGCAGGACCCACAGGAGCGGGGCAGACTTAGCGATGGTGCATGTGGACCCGCGGAATGTAAGGTAAGGAAGGTAGGTAGTGTAGAACGAGGAAGGAATTCTACAGGTAGGTACAGGCAGGTACATCCGGAGTGACCTCAGTGCAAAGGGAAGGAAGCACTTGTCTTGACGTTTGGCCAGTTCCAAACTGTATCTGGTTTTCGTTTCGTGTATGACAGAGGAGCTGGGAGGGGAGGAGGCGGCGGCGACGATAATAACGTGGGAGGAAATCTGACGCGATCGGCCGATGCGCGATGGCATTCAGAAGCAAAGACAGAGCACAGGATGGTTTCCGCCAAGTTTCGGCCGAACATAGTGGTCTGAACTAAAGATGCGAACAGACAAGCAATCCGGGAAGAGTCCAAGGTATCTTGCGGCCGTGAACCCTCCCATCGTCTCTTGGTGGTCGTACAGTACAGTACCCATCATGACCCATGTACCGGTATCCGTCCAGTGTAGGTATCCATCTGCATATCGAGGGACGGAGCAGGAGAGGGCAGCGTTGTGGCGGCGCACTCCCGCTTCCGCTTCGGCCGGCTGCGCATCTTGCCAGGATGATGCTACCGCCCATACGCTTCACCGAGATACAGTTGAGATCAGGCTGGCAAGCTGCAAAGCGGACGAGGGAGATGAAATGTTTGTCTGACTGGAACAGAGACATGTAGGCAGACAGGCCGCCAGGCCTAGCTCCCGAGTCTAAATGTCCAATGCTGCACAAGGTACCGAGACCCGTACAATCTCACTTGCATCCGAGGCAGGAAAGTACCTTTACCTCGAAACACCTCCCTCCAACGCCAACTCCAACTCCAGCAGCTGGAGGCGTGCCCAACCCAGCTTGGCTTCCGCTCCCTTAGTGCGTCCATGTACCATACCTACTCGACTCTGTAAGCTGAGCTGCCTTACGGTGCAACCAACCCTGGATTGATTTCCCTCCTGTCTCGCGCTTGTCTTGTCACTCGCATCCCCCACCCCCAGCCGCCCACGCCTAATTCATCCCTCCCCTCGTCTCGTCATCCCAAGAACCTCTTTCTCTCTTCTCACCCAACTCCTTCCTCCCCCCCTCCCTCATCGTTGGCTCTTTCGCTTGCGACTCTGCCACAAACAAACCGATGCCACGGCCCTAGGCTCTCTCCCGCCTCGTTCTCCCGTTTCTGCATGAGCTCATCGAGTCTCATCCCTTGTTGCTCTACCCCTGACACGGCCCCCCGAGCCTCAGCTTCTTTAAACAAGATCGCGGATATTCAGTCGCATATCCCGCTTTCGCGCCCCAGTCCCTCCGCGTCCCACTGTCTTCATCTTGGTCATCCTTCTCTGCGACCAACATCTACGACTCAGCCTGCTCGCCAGAAACCGCAAACAAGCTCGTTTCTTTCAATAGAACGGCGCTCACTTTCCAAGCGATCTTATCGACCCCCCTGCTACTTGGTCTAGCCGTCCGGTGCGCCGCGCATACAGAAACGGGGACCACCCGGAATAAGCGCTGGTCAAAAGACACGACCAACCCAACCATCCAGGCTGCAGAATCGCTGTCCTCCACCACCTTGGAATAAATTTTCTTGTGGCTTCTCCCCAGCCTGCCGACGACCACATCTCATCAGGAATAAACTTGCCGTTTGGTATCGCGTCGGTTTTGTCCGACGGTCTCGTGCCTTCTCAGACCTCCAGCTTCGTGGCAGACTGTTTCTCACAGCCTGATCGCGCTCCAGCGTCCACCCCGCATTCAGCTCGTTCAGCCTGTCGCCTCCCACCCAGTCATCGCAAGCCAGAACATGACAGAGTCTGGCGTCTTTTGATCCTCGGGAGCAAATCCACCTTAGCTTTGGCACATCGTCGCCTGACTAACACCAAGACGGGCCACCGCTCTCGATAGACCCTGATCCCATTCTCCTCCCTCGGCTTACGCCTGTCGTCGTCACCATGGCTTCGACTTACGCCGTACCTCCCGCTTCGTTCCACGATGGGCAAGCGAGCGAGCCCCGCAACTCCTCCCCGCCAAACAGCAGCAGCCAAGGAAGACCGACGGTCACTTCATTTGACCCAAGCCATCTCTCGCCCTCGTCGCAGTTCCAGAGCAGCTCGGTTTCGCCCGGCTTTGGCGAAACCCCAGCCGAGTCTGTCTCCAACTTCAGCCAGTATCAGTCGAGCGATTTCAGTGATATCGACGATGGACTCGATCCTTTCTTCGGCGTTAGTTTCAACGCAACGGAAGCTGGCACGCCCTCCTTCCTGGACCCCCTAAGCCGTACCGACAGCTTTGGCCAGTCCACCATCTCCCAGGCTTTCAACAGTTCCCAAGCACGTAGCAGAGCCCTGGACGCCAACACCTATCCGTTGACCCCCGACCAAGCTTCGCTTCACACAACCTCGCCTGGTTGCGACGGAAGGACGACTGCCAAGTCTGTGCCTGATCGAATGCCCACTTCCATTTCGCCGCAGGAGCTGCAGAAGCCTTTCCAGCCACCCCCGATTTCTACCTTGGCCGTGCAGCCCGCACCCCAGCTGACGCCGAACACCAGCGGGAGCGGCCGTTCGAGCGAGGACAGTACCGCGCCATCTCCCGCCATGGTGGCTGCTCAGAGCCCGCGTGTGACTGTATCCATGTGGGGCAGAGACGCAGCAGAGCCCGTTCAATCGATTGAGCGTACATTCACGCCCGATGAAGAGAACTCATCTACGGCACATGGTGGCATCAGCTCTGCGGGTGACCTGATCCCTTCGCAAGAACATGCTGCAACCAAGGCACACCCGCGACGCTTGTCGGTCACCCGCCAAGGCCTAGACCCGGATAACAGGCCGTCCACGGAGATAGCTAGCGTCAACGAAATGGTGACTCGTCGTGAGATTGAGGAGAAGAACCAGGAAGTTGATCAATGGCTGTCCCGCAGCTTGCATGGTGCCCCGGTCGCGGCGCCGCCTCAACAAGAGACCAACCTGCATACTAGCCCTGAGGCCATAGCTGGCGACGATGACATCCGCCTTGGCGATCGAACCGAGAATCGCTATCAGCCTGGTCAGACTTATTTCACTGCCCGCGGTGGCGAGATGACGCCAACAGACCTACACATCATGCGTTCCAACCGCGTATGGGGCGATTCACCCGTCGTACACCCGATCAGCGGACCAGGCACGGAGAGATATCAGCCAGAGTCTTCGCAAGCTGCGATTGCTAGATTCAGACAAATGTGCGACAACGAATCCATCGTTTCCAAGGCGGCCACATGGGGCACGCGCAGACGCAGTCTACCCAGCGTCATCGACATGGACATGGAGAACGTCACCAGTGGAAATTTGTTGAAGAAATTGTCCATCAGCAGAGGTGAGGGCGGCCGCCGCCCAAGTATTCTCAAGGACTTGCGCGGCTTGGTCCGCAGGCCGAGTGGCCAGCGACTCAAACGGTCTAGCAGTACCAATGGGGACGAGCATGTCAAGTCGGAGCGTCCGCCCCCTGAGAAACGCGAAAGCTTGCCTCATCTTCTACCTACTGCTCGCGCAGGAAGTTGGAGCAAAACCAAGACACAGACACCCAGTATCAACACCGCTCTCATCTCGATGGGTAGCAGTGTGGCTTCAATCGGAACTACTCACGCCCGCAACGGGTCGATCGGCGGTGCAACGGTCACATCGCCCAAGAGCCCGTTGAGCCCTTTTGCTAGCCTTCAAGTCAAGAACACCCTTCGAAGGCCCAGAAGCAAGTCGGACCTGCCAAAAGCCAGCGGAGCCGAAACGCATTCGAGTCTTGTTGGCATGTGGAGGAAGACAGGTGGCCCACCCGTTGCCGTCCTTGCGAAGGGAAACTCTACCAACATTGATGTGGACGACGAAGACGAAGATGAGGATGAACTCTACGAGGATGGCGACATGAATGCCGAGTCCAGCAAGCTGATTGAAGGTGTCTCGCCAAACTTCGCGGGCTTCCAACAGCATGTGCTTCGTCTCAACCCGGACCTGGCAACCACTAACAACTACCTGGTTGATCGTATCGCTCACCACCAGGTCGTTCGATACAAGAGCCTTCTCAACGCCAAAGTCAAACACCTTGGACTGGGTCAAGCCTGCTCATGCGGGACCTTCTGTCTGGCGCGTGGCGGTCGTCCTGTTCTGCTCGACCAGAGAGGAGATGTGCGCGATCTCGATCCGCTTTCCACCGGGTTTGAAGCCGGTGATGGCGACTCAACTCCTGTCGAGGGAGCCATCACCAAAGATAGCTTCCCGCAGGACATTCCTATGCCGCCTACGCAGTCCCTGCCAGCCGAATTTGAGTGCCAGCTCTGCTTCAGCTTGAAGAAGCCCAAGAAGCCCTCCGACTGGACAAAGCATGTCCACGAGGATGTACAGCCTTTCACCTGCACTTGGGACCGATGCCGTGAACCTAAAATGTTCAAGCGTAAGGCTGACTGGGTACGCCACGAAAACGAAGGCCACCGTCACCTTGAGTGGTGGACCTGCGATGTCGAGGACTGCCGGCACACTTGCTACCGCCGAGACAACTTCCTTCAGCATCTCGTGCGCGAGCACAAGTTTGTGGAGCCCAAGAACAAGACCAAGGCTGCTATCAAGCGAGCCGGCGCTGTTGACCCAACGTGGCAGAAGGTCGAACAATGCCGTCACGAAACATCCAAAAAGCCACAGGAAGAGCCTTGCCGGTTCTGCGGGAGGCAGTTTCCGACTTGGAAGAAGTTGACTGTTCACTTGGCCAAGCACATGGAACACATCAGCCTGCCCATTCTCCGGCTAGTTGCGGCCAAGGAGCTGGAGCCAGACACCATCATCAGCCCTGTGCAGGATCCTCCACCAAGGGCCCCCTTCAGCGCACCCGAGCCCTTGGATGAGGCGGTCATCAAGAGCGAATCTTCTCGGGTCCCTAACTTTGCGCAGCCGACATCCTATCAACCTTCGGTCATGATGCCCAGCGGCAACGTACCGTATCATGGTGGGAACCAGTTTGGATACGCGGGTGCTACGGGGAACCCGCAGTTCCAGGACTACATGTACTCCTCACAATATCCGAACAACGGCCAACCCACGGCCCAAAACATGATGGGCCTGTCACCCATGACCCAAGGACCTCAAGGGTTTAACCAGCAATACCCAAATGCCAATGGCATCGGAATGCCAACTGCACCGTACATGGGGCCGCAGCAGCAGTACATGTCGGTGGCGCAGGACACCGAACCCTTTCCCGCACTGGACCACAACGCCCTCGGATTGCACCAGCCGAACGCGATGGGCTTGCCGATGGGCTATGATGGGCTCATGGGACCGGGCAACGTCGACGAGAACCAGTACACCTCTCAGGGGTCGATCTCGCCCTACTCACACTCTCCCCTCCAAGGCGGCTCAGGTTTCTACCCTGCTCAATAAGAGACATACAAAATCCCATGCATGCTCTCTCGCGAGGTTATATCCTCGCTTCGATCTGGCGCGTGTTTAGATACCCCCTTTGTTTATGCAACATTTCGTCTCGGCTCTCCTTCCAGCCGAGTAGGAGATGACTGGGTCACTTCTTTTCCCGACAATATCTCGATGTTTCGGCCGACAGCGGATTCGGAGCAATCAGGGCATCCATGAAGGCAGCGTGAAAGGAGTGGAACGGTGACTGGCGTTTACGAGTGGCCAAGGATGAACGGTGCAGTGTATTTCTCTGACGGATAGACGTGCCCAATGTCGAGTTTGTGCTCGGACGTCATTCTACATTATAGATTGGCTTTTTCCCTTGGTTATCTCCCCAATAGTTCGTGACGGCATATATCCAATGTAAGGGATTTCCAAGAAGGATGACGGCTGGAGGTGGGTCGCGCAACCGACAGCTGTTCGATCTGACGTGTTTACCAATTACCAAGAATCTTGTTTCTTCAATGCTAAAAAAGAATTATTGTGCGAATAGACAAAGTCTAATCTCTGGTTGGCATCCCATCCCGCTCGGCAGTGCATGCACACACGGACGGACGGACGGACGGGACACGCGATGGGGTCCAACTCAGCCTTTCCGTATCCACCAGAGAAGCATTTTTAGCATCCCGCTTCGGCTGCGTCTCCAATTTTCCAACAAGTTTGACCACCGTGCGATCGAGGGTGTGGGAAAAAACGGAATGCGCGCGTGTGTGTGCGGTGATTTCGCGTGGTGTATGGTTCCCGAGTGGCCCTCCTCCCCCGGCCGGGACCCCGAGGATGGGAGGCATCGAGCCGGCCGCTGGGTGAGCAAAAATACTACATAGGATGGTACTATTACACAATCAATAAAAAGGAGGGAAGGCTAGGTTGCGGCGGTAGCACGTGCCCACAGTTTCTTCCAAGGCAAAGCGTTGCAGTCGCGGGTTTTTTTTTGGGGGGGGGGGGGATATTGGGCTGGCACGACGGCAAGTCGCGAGAGAGAGTGATTTTGGAGAAAAAAGGGGGAAAAGCGGAGGACCCGCTCCATACGAGGCGCAATGCCTTACTCGTCCTACGCCCCCCCCCCCGGTGACCCGGGTCGCTACGTGCGGTGGTCGACTTTTTTTGTTCACGGTTCACATCTTTGGGATGACGGGATAATTGTGACTGGCGGGGCCGCGGGGGTGAAGGGAGGAGGAAAGGCAGCGTCATAAAGTTGTGCCGGGCAGCGAGCGAGTGAGTTGCCCGCCGTGCGCGGGCGGGCGGGCGTCGACCTCGACATGTATCTGTCGGGTTCCCTGTTTTTTCCCGCCCGCGCATTACATCCGTCAGAGGTGTGATGAGAGAGAGTTCTAGACGGTGCGGAGGGAAGGGAAAGGAAAGGGAAGGGAAGGGATGGCTGGCCGGCGGCGGCGCGAGACGGGGTGACAGAGTTTCGGGGTGGGTTTGTTTGACGGGGACCTGGGACGGACGGAGGTTCTTCTGGATCTGTACCTGATTGTCGGTACGGACGCCCTTCCCCCAATCCTGCATGGAGCAGTTGCATGAGGTAGATGGAGATGGGGCCGGGAAGCTGGAATGTGTTCTTCATCAAGGTCTCACTCGGTGGTCTCAGTGGTGGCCGGCTGTGGCTTTGGACAAGAGGTCGGGCGAGGTGATGGAGAAAGCCCCGGGTTTGCGTGTCCTTGGGTTTGTTCGAGAGTCATTTCGTTGGTCGGCACTTTGGTTGCCAGTCGGCCATCATGTAAGTGGTCTTTCGGTGATTTCAAGACGAGACGTTAGGATCGCAGTGGGAGCCCAGTACGGAGCACCGCGCGAAAGGGCAGAGACACTCTATGGGTTAATCAGACAAAGCGTCACAAAAAGCAAAAACCCGCGCTGTTCGCAAGAGATATCGAGGACGAGGATCGCTGGCAAGGAGCAGGAAGACAGGCAGGGGGACAAGGTCGAGCCAAAGTCCAAAAGGTCCCGAGCTGGCGGGATGAAGCTTTATCGGTTGCATTACCTCTCTCGGGGACCTTTCCTGAGTGAGGATGGGTTACGATGCGCTTGCAATAGCCAACGGCTGTTAATGTGCTCTATCGGCGGCCTCGCTACGTACCGGGTACGCGACCGCGGCACGGGCGAGGAATGAGAGAGGCATGAGAGAGAGGCATGATGCTGGACAGAACAGGCGGGGGTGGCTTAGGTCGGATGAGGTCGTTACGGATTTGTTTCTTGCTGGATGGGACCGTTAACCAGCAGAGGAAGCGTCGGCAGCGAACTTGGCATGTCGCGGGTCGAGCTGAACACTCGAGCGGCGTCACCATGTCTCTCGGGGGCTTGGGATAGGAGGCGTCGAAGCAGAGTTTGCGTATCCGGGGAAAGTCTACCGGTAGTTCCAGCATGGCGGAAGATGCCTGGCTGGCGATGATCCCGGAATCGTTTCAATCAGGCGGTGACAAGCCGGGATGGGGCGGCTGGCAGTCGAGGGCGGGCTCACGGCATGGACGCCCGAGGGGTTACGAGGACAGCGGATGGCGAGACGACAAGGAGGGGTGTCGGGTTGGGTTAAGGGGGTTTCGGTGACGTTTTGCGAGAGAGAGAAAGCTGGCTACGGGGGGGAAACAGACTTGTTTGACGACGAGATTGTTCCCAGGGGCGGGGGGGGGGGCCGACCTCCGAAGAGGCCGTCAGTGTCTTTGACAGCACCAAAGGCGTGGGCTGAAGAAGGAATAAGAAAAATCAAGGTTTTGGGTTCTTGACGAGAAGGGGTAGCGATGGCTTGGAGGACCGGGGGACACGCACTCGAGATCGGACGAAACCGATACGAGTGTAAAAGAAGGGTAAAGTGACGATGTGCTTCCAGGGTCCTGATGCGCGAGCTGTTGCGTGTTGTCGCGTTGAACCTACATCCGAGCTAGCTCGAGGACGCACAGGAGGGGGCGCAACGCGGTCGAGCGCTCGGGTACGTGTTAGTGATTGAGACGAGACGAGGGCGACGGCGCCGCTGCCAACGCTGCGTGCGCCACGCCACGCGCGGGGGACACGGGGTGGGAGGGACGTAGGTGGTGTATGTGGCAGATGCGGACCGCACGCCCACCGAGTTTGATACCGGCTATCTTGGATGGGCTTTGCTCTGGTGGGCGGGCTGTGATCGATGGAACGCTAGATGCGAGGGGCGACGCAATCGTTCCTCCAGCTTGGGGGGTCTGTGACTACGGACACGAAGGCCGACCAAGCAGCATGGGCCAAGGAAAAGAAAAGATAAGAGGTCCCAGATGCTGTGATGTTGTGGAAACAGGTTTTGTTTGTAGTAGAGACTGAGGCACTCCAGAGGCTGCGATCTGTAGGGCAGGGTGGAATGCTGCTGGATTCAACAGCCAAGCAGCCGCCACTCCAGCGCTCAGCTTGGACTCTTGACGCTTGGCAGGCCTCCCACCGGGGCGCGGGAATATTAGTCTGTGGGGTTTGTGGCACGGGGGGGATGGGATGGGATGGGATGGCAACGAGGTGAGCGATCCGAAGTCTCTAGACGCGTCGTCGAAGGTCATGTCATGAAGGTAGGTAGCTGTCTGTGAGCGCAGCGTGCCGTCATTGGAACAGTGCAGAGGCTGTGCGGGTGGGCAATCACTGTGCCGTTCTACCGCACAGTTCCGTTGTCGAGATACAGATAATTCGAGACGGGATTTGATCTCTTGTGCACTTCATGCGAGCCCACCGCATCGCGATATGAAGGGTAGCAGCGACGATGGATATGGGCGGGCTCTTGGTAGTGCGACGTGGGGACGTGGGAATGAGCAATTGGCGCGGTGGGAGATGGGCAACCTCGAAAGAAGGAAGAGGGACGGTTATTTTTAATCCGGGCTGTTTAATCTTATAGGGTATCAATCCAATCAATCGACGTCGGGCGAGCCCTTCCAACAGTCGATAGTGCCAGTTGCCGACCCCCAGGGAGGGGGGGATGGAATGCCAAAATGTCAAATTACCAGCCAAAGTCGGTTTAACCCCGTCGAGGAAACTGTGGTTCTCGAGATTGAACGCACCTGAAGGGGGAGATGAACATGGCAGCGGCAAGAAATTCCCGTAGCGCCTGGGCGGCAGTCCCTCACGGCTCTTTTCGTTGCCCCGTCCAACCTCGTATCAGCGCAAGGTGCGCAAGGTACTCTGTACAGAGAGATGGAAACACCACCGGCTGGCATTCGTGGGGCGCTGACGAAGAGTGAGAAGCGCATCGATGCGTCGGGTTGGGTTCGAATCGAGTCGAGTCGACCACAATGAAGAATTCCCTTCCCTTCCCTTCCCGCGTCCAGAGCAGAGGCCCCCGACAACTCGCAGTTCTGGACTGCTGGAGGCATGAACGACAATGCCATTGGCAGATGAAAGTCACCACCCCCATCCCCCTCCGTGATGGCGCAGTTTCAGGCGCGACCGGGGTACGGGACCGGTTTGGTTTGCGATTGCGGGCCTGGCTGCCCTTTTTCGTCCGTGGCGCCGCGGCAGCACGCACCATTTTTTCGAACGGCGGGAGCCAATGGGTTCGCCCACTAAGCTCCGCCATTCGAACCAGACCGGCTCCCCTGTCGATCTCCCAGCCAAGGTCCTCCTTTCGCTCGAGTCGTCCAGGGGGGGGGGCCTGACGCCAATGCAGGGGGCGGTTAAAGGCTAGGTGGGGTTGGGTTGGGGTGGCAGAGCTGTGCCTACCGTACTCTGTACCGTTTGCTGCTCTTCCTGTACCGTGTGTTTGCCCCTGAATGTCGGTGTTTTCCAGTCTCTGGGTTTCGCCGGCGACGGCTGGCGAGGGCAAACCGTCGCGGACGGCTCGACGCAGGAACCGCTCGAGGTTGGCGTAGACTTGGCCGTGAAGCAGGTGATTTTCATGGTGCGTCACACGGCACAATCTCTAATGCAGCGCGGCATTGCCGATGTCTCCTCCTCCCCTTCCCCGAGACATTGTTTCAGTCCCCACCAGAAAGAATGGGCAAACGCGTAGTCTATGTACTTTATGTAAGGTTGGCTCTTCATCGGACGGCACCCGAAGAAGAGAGAGAGAGAGAGTGTGTGTGTATGTGTGTGTGAGTGTCGTCCCCGAACGGTTCGAACAAGACCGTTTGCACTACACCCAAGACATAAGCCATGCCGTGTGTGTCGTTGGAGACGAAGTGGCTGGCCTCCTGGCCGAACGGTGATTTGACACTCTGTACTAGCAGGCAGGAAAGTGGCGGCTTCAGATGCGCAAAGATACGTATCCGTCCGTCCCTCGTCAAGCAAAGAAAGCAATTTGTTCCTTGCTCGAATCCCGGACCCTCAATCTCTTGTTTCCTCCCACCAGCAAGGGACTCCGAGGACAGCGGACCGTTCTGGACTGCTCGGCCACACGATGCCGCGGGCTGGTCTGGTCTGGTCTAGACGGATGCCAGCCGGGGGCATGGACGGGGCCGTTTTTTGACTTTGTCGCTCTCTCTACCTGCGGTGCATCTGCGCCATCGTGTTTTCACTCTTCGCCTCTGCGGCGGCACTTTTGCACCCAGCCCAGCATCGGATTGGACGCTCTATATACTACTGCGTTTGTAGTGCTATGTTAGCTAGTGCACCACCCCAGCCAGGCATCTCTCTGCCGGTCGTGCTACCTAGGTGCATAGTACTATGTATGTATTGCACCCCCTCTTCCACGCAGTAGCCGCCTGCCGCTAACGCCCGGGCACGCCGCGCCGTCAGACGGGCGGGTACGTAGGGTAGACCGCCAGCGACAGGCAAAGCCGCAACATGGTATGCCGCCGTCTCGTGCTTCGTACAGCCACCGTGTGCCGCCGAGAGAGCGAGAGAAGGACGTCTGGTCTGGTCTGGTCTGGCATACCCTCCAGGAACCACACCAGAGCCGTTTAACTGGTGCGGCCGGGCTCCAGAGAGACCCAGCGAGGACCCAGTTCGTCAGCGCCGCCGCGTGGGTCGACCCAATCCTTGGGCTATTACTGGACTTATGAACCGGTGCAAGGGCTGGAGGCGACCGTCTTCTCTAGCAAGGGTGCGAGCGTTCAGGCTGGTTGACGCTGCTCGGAGAGCAAGGAACAAGTCAGGGACGGGGTTCCAATCGAACTTGCGCCCCCAGTGGAGGCGACGGGGTGTGTGTGTGTGTATGAACACGACGGCCGGCCTTTCGCAGCCCGTCATCTGGCTGTCCTCGCGAACCAGAGCGACCGTCCCGAGCGTGGCAGAGAGAGCGAGAGAGACTTGGTGACATGGAGACTCGCAGACGTTCCCACCCCATCCACACCAATCCGCACGCCATCCCAGGGTCCTTGTCCCTTCCTGCATGGGGCCCGTGGACGAGAACAGACGACGCAGAGGTCGCTTCCAGGCTTGGCTCCCCATCTCCCGCCAACCATCGATCGCCAATCGCTTCCCCTTCTCGCCCGTTCGTGTTCGTCCTTTTCCTTCTCCGTCTCTCTCTGCATCCTGTCTTGTCTCTGCTCCCTCCTCCCTCCCTCTCACACTCCACCAACACCTCCTGACCGGCGTGCATTCTCAGCATCGTCACCTTTCGCTCGTTTCATATACCCGCCAGACGACTTTAGCCTCTTTTTTCTCAGCCACTGTGTCTCTCTCTCTTTGGCCTGGCCTGACTACCAAACTAAACCCTCACTCTCGGACTCTCACTCTTACTCACTCCATCCATCATAACCCTCGACGCCCGCCTCTCACCATAGGTTCTCTGCCCTCTCCCGTAGAACCACCATCTCGCCCGGCGTACAAGAGGCCTCAATCGGGCTCATCCCAACGACACCCTTTGGGCTCTGCAAAGGCACTTCGTTGCCAGCCCATTTTCCCCTTCTTTCCAGGTTGATCCTCGGCCTCTTTTGTTTCCTCTCCCTTCGTCTTCGTACCATTCTGTAGAAAGCTGTGCTTGCTTCTTGTTAGCCTCTTACCACCTTACACCGTTCCTTCTTCACTAGTACACTCCAGTTGTTTGTTTCCTTTGGTCCACGACTCTCGCAAGATACCCCCCGACGCGACGACGACGACTCGAACACCATCACCCCGACTCACCAAGGAAACATCCAATCCCGGTTCCCGACGAACACAGCAACCCTCTCTCTCTCTCTCGCCAATCTTTGTATCAAAGCGTATATCAATTTGTTATAGTTGGGAAAGGGACGGAATCTCTCGTTAGGAGTACAGGAGAAAGAAGCCAGAAGAGGCTCAAAAGCATAGACTTTGGATATACCCCCCATCACACGGCTTTGGGAACCACCATCATCGATTCCCGACAGAACGACGAAGAACGACTTTTCTACCGCGCTTTTTTATTATTACCAAAACCCATCACAACAACACGATGACGCGAACCGCGCCCAACTGGGGCCCCAAGAGGCTGTTGGCTCTGGCCACTGCCATGGCCACCGGAACCCTCGCCGACTCCATTCTCAAGACGAGCAGTTTCACGACTTGCGGCAACGAAACCGCCATCACCGTCCAGAAGGTTGACATCCAGTACAACAACGACAACAAGACAGTCACTTTCGATGTGGCAGGAACGAGCACCAAGTCCCAGAACGTCACGGCTATCTTGGACGTCTCGGCCTACGGCACCGCCATCTACTCCAACTCCTTCAACCCTTGCGAAGCAGCAACCTACGTGGAGCAGCTTTGCCCTGGTATGTGCCAGTTCCGCAAAACGAAGGGAGAGTAGAGACAATACTAACGTGTCACAGTCCCCGCCGGTTCTTTCTCTGCTCGCGGTAGCCAGACGATCCCCGACCAGTACGCCAGCATGGTTCCCGCCATCGCCTTTGCCGTCCCCGACATCGCCGCCCAAGCCAAGTTGCAGCTCAAGGCTCTCGACTCGAATGAGGAGGTCGCCTGCATCACGTCCCAGGTCACCAACGGCAAGACGGCCAGCGTTGCCGCCGTCTCGTACATCGCCGCCGGTGTCGCTGGCCTCGCCCTCGTCGCCACCGGTGTGTCCGCCGCCAGCTCTGCGTTCGCTGGAGGCAGCGCTGCTCTCAGCAGCGGCGGCACCGGTGGTGCCGGCACGATCAGCCCCAGTTTCACCGAGGTCTTTGGGTGGTTCCAGGGCATGGCCATGAACGGCATGCTCTCCGTCAGCTACCCTCCCGTCTACAGCAGCTTCGTCAAGAACTTTGGCTTTTCCACCGGCATCATCCCCTGGACCGACATGCAGATCGCCATTGACAACTTCCGTGGAATGACCGGCGGTGATCTCAGCAAGGACAGCGTTGAGACGCTCAAGAACACCACTCTCATTCTCGCCGACGGCTCCACCGTCGACGGTGGCAGTGCCCTTTTCAAGACGAAGCGCGCCATGGAGGCTTTCAACACGCTCGTGTTGAGAGAGATCGAGACGAGCGTCAACGGAACGTCCAGCGACTCGGACGACCCGATCACCACCATCAAGCAGAAGGTCCAGGGTATCACGGCTTTCGTCAACACTCTCAGCGTGCCCAAGTCCAACACCTTCATGACCGTCCTCCTGATCGTCGCCATCGTCATTGCCGCCATCATTGTCGGCATTCTCCTCGTCAAGGTCATCCTCGAGTTCTGGGCCCTCTTCGGCAACTTCCCCAAGTCCCTCTCCGGTTTCCGTGAACACTACTGGGGATCCATTGCCCGTGCCGTCACCTCGCTCATCATGCTGCTCTACGGCATCTGGGTCCTGTACTGCATCTTCCAGTTCACCAACGGAGACTCGTGGGCCGCCAAGGTTCTCGCCGGCGTCACTCTGGGTATCTTCACGGGCATCCTCGCCTTCTTCTCATACAAGATCTGGAGCACCGCTCGCAAGCTGAAGCAGGCCGAGGGCGACGTTAGCGGCCTCTACGACGACAAGTCCAACTGGATGAAGTACAGCCTCTTCTACGAGTCCTACAGGAAGGACTACTGGTGGATCTTTGTCCCGGCCATCATCTACATGTTCGCCAAGGGCTGCATTCTCGCCGCCGGTGACGGTCACGGCATGGCCCAGACGGCTGCCCAGCTCATCGTCGAGGGTCTGATGCTGTGCCTCCTGCTGTGGTCCCGTCCCTTTGAGCGCAAGTCCGGCAACGTCATCAACATCACCATCCAGGTCGTCCGTGTGCTTTCCGTCGCCTGCATTCTCGTCTTCGTCGAGGAGTTCGGCATCGCCCAGACCACCCAGACCGTCACCGGTGTCGTCTTGATCGCCGTCCAGTCCGCCCTGACCGGCATCCTCGCGCTCCTGATCGTGTGGAACGCCATCATCGCCTGCTGCAAGGAGAACCCTCACCGCAAGCGCAGAAAGGAGATGGGTAAGTTTGCTCTCGCACACCCTCGTGCCTGTAACACGCCACTAACCCCCAACGCAGAGAAGATGCAGCGCGACATGGACACCCTTACTCCCCTGGACGCCCGCAACTCCCTCCTCATGGACCGCAAGGACCCCGAGCACGGCACCACCTTCTCCATGTCCAGCGTCCCCGAGAAGCGGGACAACCGCTCGGAGTCCCCCGACTACCTGGGCGCCCCGGGCCACGCCCCCTACCGCCCCCTGACCCCCAACGCGCCGTACAACCAGGCCAACTCGAGCCACGAGAACCTCGTCCTCGGCGCCGCGCCCATTGCCGACAGGAAGCCGACACTGCCCAACGTGGGCGGCGACTACCATGCGGGTGGATACGGCGGTGGTGGGTACCGGGGTGCGTATTAGTGAAGACTGGACGCAAAACATAACAACAACAAAAAAAGAACGGGAAGGGGAGCGCCCGCCCTCGGCGCGCCGGGCTGCGGCACAGCGCGACGCGCGGGCGTGCGTGGCCCCCGAATGACAACGAACATAGAAGTGTGGGACATGTATGACGTGGGATCTCTCTTAGCCTTCGCAGAGATCCCCAAAGAAGCCACTTTATATCCTCCTATTGTAACCCTTTCCTTATTTCTTATTCTATATTTCGAGAAAAAAACCTCTTTTTTTTCCTTGCGTCTGTTCAGTTTTCTGTCATCAACACCAACCACATTTACAACCTCTTGCAAAACTATGGTCATGATATCGACGGCTGCTCTGATTCCAACTTTCCTCTCTCACCATCTCGCACATACTTTCCCTTCCTTGACGGTAGGAGGTGGGAAAGGAAAGCCATTGTAGTCGTTTACATAGACATACCACACACACACACATACTCACACACACACTATATATCCTGAGGATATGTAAACGTACGACCGCAAGGTTTTTTTTCAGGGTTCAAAAGGGGAGGCGCATAGCAGCGAAATGGGCCCGGGATAGTAGATACCTACCAATGGAACGCATAAATTAATATGAAAACACGGTCCGGTGATGATGATGTGCGTGTGTTGCGGGAACAGTCTTGTCGACGGCGGGGTGGGTTGTGAGCGAGTTGACGAAGAGACTGAAGTTGTGTGGACTACCAGAGTTGATGTGTGCTGCCTCTGGGCAGACAGACTACACTGACTGGCCTCCCTCTTCAAATGACTAGAACTAAGCCAAGCCATGACGATAATGCGAGTCTATGATCGTGCCTTTGCGTGTCGGTTGGACTCAGGCGGAGGACGTTGTTGGGGTCGCTGGAATTGGCAGCTGGCCCAAGCTCACCCGACCTACGTCTGATGAGATGAGCCGACCATTGGTCCCTATGAGAGAGGATACAGGTAACCTGACCATGGGGGGAGGTGATTAGGTGACCAACCCCGACTAAGAGGTTAGGATAAAGGTCAGAATCGGCGGTTCGGGTTAAGATGTTGGTTAGTTGTCGAGTCTGGTATATACTTCCGATTTGCTTAGGATTTTGTAGAGATGGTTTGGAGGAACTGGCTCCGTCTCAACTGGTCAGTTGGCGCCACTTTTCCCCAAGTGTGAGACGGGAGTTGGTTAAAGTGGGGGCATGGTCACCGAATCCCCCCTCGCTCCCCCGATGGTCAGCTGAAGTGCATCTTCGTCCCCTACGGTCAGTTTATCCTTTCGGCTGGTCCCTCGAGCCTAAGCTACCCTCGCCTGTGAGGGTTGCGAAGCCGGCCAAGCTTCACGCGGGAAAGTGAACGGCCAGACCCCAGGCTCCTTCCAGTCTGGCTGAGAATATCCCCTAGACGCTGTCGGTTGGGCCGAACACTGCGCCGTGTTCAGGCATTCGGTCGCCTCGAGAGTCGAGGACCGTTGCGAGGCAGAGGAGGATGGCTCTTTACACGGAATATTTCAACTCTTACTCACCGGACCACGTCCACTTATCCCGCCACTCACCATTATCGTTTAAGCTGATCAGCGTGGCTGACTTGGCCTGAGGTGCCAGACCCGAGTGACGCGATCCGTTGGGATTTCAGCTCAGTTGGTCTTTTCTCCTCCAGCTCAACGCACGACGCCCTTGCGAGGTGTTGCGTGTTCGCTGGGGTCGGTTTCGACTCTGCTCTCGGCAGGTTATTGGGCTTGGCCGAGCCGACTTGATGAGACGCGTCCTGGTCTCGTTTGGGCGATCATATCCAACTGCTTGAGCTGAGTTGAGCTGACCCTCCGACTTTACCTAACCCGGCCTGTCCTTCGAGTTAACCTGACCTAACCTACCCTCTCGAGTTGACTTAGCCTGACCCGACCTACCCTCCCGAGTTAACCTGACCTGACCTACCTCCCTCCACCCAGCCATATACGCCCTGTCATCGCCACTAAAGTGAACCTCGTTGGGTGCTCACGAGCCGAATTAGCCGAGCTTTTCCAAAGCCCCTACTTGAGGGTTTGGGTGAAGCTAGCCTACCTGACCTGACGTACTCCCAACTTCTCAGGGCTCACTCAGCGTACCCTCCATCAGCCTCTCCAAACGCACTTCGGAACGCGGGCGTGCTATTCCCCCCAGCGCGCACCCACGTCGCACGTGGTTCGCCAGGCGTTGTTTTTTACATTTGAACATGGGCCCTTTTCGCTCTCGTCTTCCATGTGCTCTTTTCTTTTCTCGAGCTCGCCAGACTCCCAACTCTGAACTTTGTGGGCGTGGCCGGTTCAACAAGACCGTGAGGGTATTGCGATGCTTTGCAGCAACCCCCGGTCCGCGACACTCGTATCTTGCGTCTTCTCGTGAGGTTCAGTTGTTATGCATCCGGTCTCAAGTCACAAGTCGCCCCGGCGTGTCGTCTCGGGGAATTTGGCGACTTGATGCGACGTACCCAGGTGGTATGGGGTTGATCCCGAGTCGGACTCGAAGGCCAGCTTCCCACGCGCCGACTGACTCGATCGCCTCATTTTAGTAGCACACAAGGCAACTGTCATTGCTGTCCACAACCGGTAGATGTTCGCAATCAAGATGCATGTTGGACGTTTTCCTAGGTTCTGCCCACAAGGTTTGCCCTGACTTGACAATCGACACCCTAAAAACGTGTCACCCCGTAAAGTATGAGGTACGAAGTCGACTCCTCGATTACAGGCCGTTGACGGCCACGGTGAAGTCGGTTGGATGTCGCGCCCATTCGTTGATGTGTAATTGTAGGTAAGGGAGAAAAGGGATTATGGGGCTTCCTTCCCCTTCCAGCGAAGTTCTCGGGGGCCGATTGCAGCAACGCAGAGCGGCAGTTGGGTGCGGCTCTGGCACTGTACACGGTCGCCTCGTGAAGGCGCAAGGCACAGTGCCAACATGCTCATTGCCCCTCATCACCCCACTGAACGTCATCCCCACGACTGCAACTCAAACTTGGTCTCGCATCACACCCTCCACCAAACCAGCTCGCCATCTTTCCCAGCCTTGCTGTTCCCGCTCCCTTTCTTCTTCCGTGTGACAGGCATCGTGCTGCGTCCGCCTCGTTACACGGCCCTGACCATCACTGCATCCCACCTCCTCCGTTGGGCTTGGCACCCCAGCTGGCGGGCGAGAACGTGCGGCGGCGCACAAGCAGTTCCGCAGCATTTCGTCGCTACATCGTTCAAGGGCAACGCCGTGTTCCGACGCTTTGCATAGCAATTCGTCCAAAATGAGTGAGTTGCAACGAGCCTGGGCCAAGCGGAAGCTCGACCCCATGCATCCCTTGCCCGAGCCGCTCAACGACCTGGACGAGGAGCCCGAGGCCGACCAACTCCCCGAACTGCCGGAGCACATGGACGACGGGGATTCGTCCTCGGCCTCGTCGGCCTCGTCGGCCTCTTCCACGGGCACCATCATCCCCTCCCCGAGCCAAAACTTGTTCGCCCGGCCGCAAGGGTAAGACACGCTGCTTTCGCACTTTCCCTCCAGTCCTGTATGCAGACGGGAAAAAAGGCCGACTCGGCAGGACGCTGATTCGCTTCTAGTGTATCGCGGGGCCGCACGCTGGAGCAAATCCCCTGGACAACCTACTTTGAGCGAGAGCTGTTCCTAAAGCCCACAACCGGGGATGACGGTTCGTCGACTGTAACCTACCACGCCTACCTCAACTCGCCTGTTGGCAAGGGTCCCCTCTTCGTCATGCACCATGGTGCCGGCTCTTCTGGCCTGTCGTTTGCCGCCCTCTCGGCAGAAATCAGGAAGCGTCTTCCCTCGGCCGGCATATTGTCTCCTGACGCTCGCGGCCACGGCTCGACCGTCATCACAGACGGCACGGAGCTCGACTTGAAGCTCGACGTCTTGACGGAAGACTTGCTCAGCATCATCCAGCTTACCAAGACACAAATGTCCTGGCCGGAACTCCCTCCCATCATACTCATCGGCCACTCGCTGGGTGGTGCCGTCGTTACTGACCTGGCTAAATCGGGGAATCTGGGAACCTCGCTTCTGGGCTACGGTGTGCTGGACGTGGTGGAGGGCTCGGCGATGGATGCTTTGCAGAGCATGCTGACTTACCTGTCGACACGGCCCACCGGCTTTGCCAGTCTGCAGTCGGGCATCGACTGGCACATCCGCTCTCGTACGATTCGCAACTCCGCCTCGGCGCGGACATCGGTGCCGGCCCTCCTCGTCTACGACGACTCGATTGACCCTACGCGGCCGTGGAGGTGGAGGACGGACCTGGCCGCAACGCAGCCGTTCTGGGAGGGCTGGTTCGTCGGGTTGAGCAAGAAGTTCCTCGAGGCGAGGGGTGGCAAGCTGTTGCTGCTGGCGGGTACGGACAGGCTGGACACGGAGCTGACCATCGGTCAGATGCAGGGTGAGTCCGTCACTACTATATAGTGAAAAGTTGACTGACATTTGATCCAGGCAAGTATGCATTGCAGGTCTTCCCCGAAGCGGGGCACTTCATCCAAGAGGATCTGCCAGAGAAGACGGCAGTGGCTGTGGTGGACTTTTACAGGCGGAACGACAGAAGCGCGTTGGTGCTGCCGCCAAAGGTTGGCGATTTGTTGAGGCAGGGCAAGAGAGTCTAGTTCTTGGAATCCAGTGACGTGCATATAGGCTCTTCTCCTGTACATTCAGATATTATACCCATTGCCTCGGCTGATTGCGTCGTATGCATTCTACATTCTACTGGAGTAGGTCAAGGTGGGGCGACGGAGTACCAAAGTGTCATCCCATAGAGATATGCTAGTAATGGACTCCGAGTTGTTGTATCTCGTGCAGCACCGAGTGATCCGTATACGACAATAACAATATTTTGAAAGACGGTTTAGTTGACGGTTTGGCATTGTCGGCCTCTAGACACCACGTGGTCATACCCGAGGACAACGCCGTCTAAACGGCCGTCTTTGACAGAATCGTAAACATCTGGTTCTGGGTCACGGAGTCAAATCCTGCCTGACCCTAGGCTTGCGGTGTCCAACGAGGGCTAGCTTCCGTTGTAAACCTGGGCCAGTAGTCGCGCCGTCTCTAGTTCTCAGCAATCCATACGGGATCCTGTTTGGGTTTCCAAACCTTGTGTCTCCTTCGGTCCTCGCCTGGCGGGAGGCTAGCCGGCGAGTCTCCCGCACATTCGCTCCGGATATCTGTGCAACGCCCTCTGGATATTGATGCCCCCCTCGGGCCGCTGCCTCTTCGCAAATGAATGGCCCCCCACACCGGAGACGACTAGAAAGGCAACGGGCCGTTTCACGTGCTCCATTGAGCTGCTTCGGCTGCCGGCGTTGAGCACACATCCCGGAACCGAGACCACGGCGAAGGCGCCTGCCGGGTATTCTCGTCATTGCGTCCGAGTTTGTGTCTGCTCGCCGCCCTCGGTGCCTTTCATAACGGTTGTTGTAGGCTTTGCCTGCTTCGTCCTGGGTCGCGTGGTGCCGACATCTTTTGTCCTTGGAGTATAGGCCAGGAATGGCAAGGCGGGAAGCTGGCAGGACACCCATAACTGATCCAGGGGACGGATCCTGGCCTGGATCGCAGGGCTGCCGAGGTACTCGTCTTCAACCAGGTCATGGTAAACCTTCCTAACCAAGCGTTCGGCTTCCGTAAGGGGATAGACACCCAACTCGACGAAGCTTTTCGACCGTTCCATTGCAGCTCGAGCGGCGTGCTGTGCATGGAGCGTGATGACCTGATGTACATCAACCGTCAATACGTCATCAGAGATGGCGTTGGCCTGCCTTTCATCGGGCGAACCCTACCAGATGGCGCCACACTTCCCAGCATCGACATGGGCGTTGCGTTGTCTGTTGTAGTCGTGTCTTCGCAGCATGGTTATGTGGTAGTCGTCTCTCGACGATACACATCCAAGAGCGCCCATCCCCTCTTGGCAATATCCTGCGCATTTCAGCATCGATAACACTGGGGTGACATGGTGAGGAAGCAGATATCTAGGCACTGATCGCTCCGCTGGCCCAGGCTAGGGAGTTTGATTAAAGGACGAACGCTCGTTCATTAGTTGAGAGTGACAACGCCAAACGTGTCACCTTGTAATATACAGCCCCTACTTGCCACCACTCATCCTTGCCCGTGAATACATCGTAGTCGGTTTCCTTCCAGCCGATAACCTCAAGAGGCAGTCGTTCTTTTGCATCATGTCCATGACGGCGTTACAACACATGGACTCGGCGACCAATAAGCGATGGAAAAGGCACAGCTCCAGAAAGGACCTCACGAGCTAGGAGACAAATCTCATTCTAAAAAACCACCGTCAGATTCACCAACAGCCGACGTCATCAGCACCCCCTCAGACAGCCCTCGGCTGCGTCGGTGCAGGTTCGATGCTCAGCGTGCGCGTTCGTATTTCGTATAGTTTTATGTACCTCATGTTCGCACCAGGAACCCAGCCCGGTCCGTCATGCTCACATCATTAAGTTACAAACGCAAGGCGCAAACCACCCCCATCCCATCCCGTCCCATCCCACGACCGGGGTCCGAGGTCCGAGGTCCGTCACCACCCGTCCACGACCTTGACGTACGCTTCCAGCCCCTTTGACGGCCTCGCCGTGACGCCGCCCTTGATGACGAGGTTCTTCTCGTCGTACTCGTCCTTGTTGCGCAGGCTGAACTCGAAGCGGCCGACCCAGGACGCGAGGATGCACGCGAACTCGGCCTTGGCGAAGCCCTGGCCGATGCAGCTCCGCGGGCCGTGCAGGAACGTCATGAAGGCGTAGTTGCTCGTGGCGCCGCCGCTGGCGGCCGACTTCTTCTTCTCGGGGTCGCCGGCGCCGTCGCCGGCCAGCCACCGCTCCGGGTCGAAGCGGCCGGCGTCCTGGCCCCACAGCGACGTGTCCTTGTTGGTCGCCCACGGGCAGAGCATGATGCGCGTGCCCTTGGGCACCTTGGTGCCGTCGATGACGGTGTCGACGACGGCCTCGCGCAGCGTCATGGGCACCGGGGAGTAGTAGCGCAGGACCTCGTTGCAGACGGCGTTGAGGTAGGGCATGTGGTCGATGTCGAGGGCCGTGATGTCGCCGGGCGTGCCCGGGGTGGGGAGGCGCTCGCGGATCTCGCGGCGCAGGCGGGTCTGGACCTCCGGGTGCAGGCAGAGGCAGTAGACGGCCCACATCATGGCGGCGGCCGTGGTCTCGTGGCCGGCGGCGAGGAACGTCATCATCTGGTCGACGAGGTTGTCCTCGGTGAAGCAGCCCGACTCGAGGGCGACGGAGAGGATGTCGACGTCGGTGAGCTCCTTGCGCTCCCGCTTCTCCTGCTTCTCGCGGATGAGCTCGCGGCACGTCGCCCGGATGGTGTTGGCGGCCTTTGCGATGTCGCCGTTGCGCGAGAAGGGCAGGTGGTGGACGACGGGGCCGGGGAGGATCATGCCCAGCAGGGCGAGGATCTGGGCCTGCCGGCTCGGCTTGAAGACCTGCCGGTAGGTCTGCGCCAGGGGGTTGGACGGGTCGCGGATGGCGCCAAAGTCGCGGCCCATGCCGGCCATGCCAATGATGTCGAGCGTGGTCCGCGAGGCCCAGCTGCCAATCTCTAGGACGGCGGTGTTGGGGCCCAGGGCCGCCTTTTCGGGGTCGGTGAGCCCCTCGGGCGGGCCCTTGGCGGCCTCGGCGTGGACGGCCTCGGTGATGGCCTGGACGCCCTCGCACGCCTTGCTCCAGAAGAGCGGGTACAGGTCCTTGACGTGGCGGAACGCGAAGGCGGGCATCAGGTTCTTGCGCTGCAGCTTGTGCTCGTCGCCCTCGGCCAGCAACACGCCGATGCCGAGGATGCGGCCGATCGAGGACCGAACGGCGCCGGGCTTGCGGAAGTCGTAGTTGTGCGTGACGAGCACCTCGGCCAGGGCCTTGGGCGACGTGACCAGGATCCGCTCCTGGTTGAACAGACCGCGGTAGCGGATGATGCCCTCGTGGGGGATGGTGTTGATCCTGCGAGCACACTTAGTTTCCCGTCACAACCACGCGCAATGGTGCGGCGGCGACTGCGAGCATTCTCGAGGTTGCCCACGACGAGAGTCTAACTCACCATTCAATCATGGGTACGCCGGTCGGCTCGCGCATGATTCTCGGGTACTGTCCCATCAACCAGTGGTCGCCCTTGGGCCCGGGGAGCGAGCGAAGACTGGAGAAGTACTGCGGGAACAGGAAGACGACAAAGATGCCCCAGGCAATGATCTGGACCATGAAGACACCGGCAAAGGTGCAGAGAAGGTTCCATCTCGAGAACACCGGCTGGCGCATCGCCAGCAACACGGTGACCGCTGCCGAGCCGATGAGAGCTCCGCGCCACGGAGGGGCCGTCATGGTGTTAGTTGGCCTTTCGTCGGCGGTGCGGCGCCTGCGTGGCTTTTTCGAACGGACGACTCTTCTGGCTTTGCCGCGAAGAGAGGGAGAAATGCAGTGGTATACGACGCGCTGTCGGCAACCCTTGCAAGAATCGGGCGGGGTCGTATCTTTAAAGGGAACGTCGACGAAGCCTCGAGGCGCGTGGGGCGGGTGGCGTCACTTTCCTTTTCCTGGGGTACTCGTTGCGATGCTGAACCGCTGGAGAAGAAGCCACTCAGCAAACGGCAATGAAAAGACCCAAAAGTCAAACGAAAAAACAATCGATATCTTGTACGGGCCGGGTGATGCAATGTCAAGACGAAGAAAGGCTATCTTGGGTGTTTAAGCTCAAATGGAATTGGGAAAAACGTGTAGGAGCGGAAGGGGAGGTAAGGTAGATCCCGCGGCGCGTGGGCTGAGTGCCGGGTTGATCGGTTTCATGCGTACGGGGTTGCAAACACGGAACCAAAGCATCGGCAGCACACGCACACCCAGTCGAAGTGCTGCTGCTGCTGCTGCTGCTGCTGCTGCGGTTTGCGCACGCCCCGTAGCTTTGGTATTGTGTCCTTTCTCTTGTCGCTCTAACCTCTCTCTGGTATGCTTTTCCAGACAGGGGCTGCGGGCGTGGGCGTCGGAGAGATTCGAGACGATGAAGACGGAGATGGGATGAGACGAGACGTGACGGGAATTACCTAGGGTGTGAAGGGTCACTGGAGGCGTGAGCTTCGACGACACTGGATGTTGTCGTCTGTCAGTTTTTTTGAGAAGTGGATTGAGTCGTGTTTGATGGTTGACAAAGACCCGAGATCTAGATAGCTAGGGGATGCGTTTTTGATGGTGACGACGAGACGCACGTGGCTCCCGAGGCAGTCGAGAGCAATGCGTGGAGGCCACACTGATGAAAGTTGAGGTAGTGCCGGGGCAGAGCCGGTAGCGATGACAATATGCGCGTTTGCCGTTGGTCCCTTCAGTTTCTGCAGCTCGGTGGAGATCGCTTCGATACGCGACAGGGAAGTGCTGATGGTGAGGTAGAGAGAGAGGCAGAGAGGTTGAGAGCCGGGTGCCGATGGCCCCTTCTATGTATCTCTCGTCTTCTTGGTCTTGGCCCCGTCGACGTCTACAATGAACCAACTAGCGATTGGTTCCTCGCGTCTTGGTAGCGAACACGACTCGGATGGAATCATTTGTCGAGGAGACCTGGCCGACGCGCGTACACAGACAGTTCACAAAGGCTCATCCGCAGAGAGTCAGCACCAACGCGGCGCTTGATCGGTATCCCCAGGGACAAAAGAAAAAAGCAGGACCAGGACGGGATTGAAACCCGTGGGGCCAGTTGGGAAATGGATGATGAGCACATCGTCGAGAGAGCTCGAATGGTATGCCCGTCTCGTACTAGCTCCGCCTCTGGGGATTCGCAGCGGAGACCTCGCTCGACCCAACCCCAAGGCGGAGTTTTGGGGGTTCCATCTCCTGGTCCCAGGCCAGCGGACCTCTGGGACGATTTGTTCGCCCGGCGGAGGGGAGGGGTTGCAGGCACTTTGCCGAGTTCCTAGCGAAGGGGGGGGGGGGGGGAGAAAAGCAGTGTCACGATGCAGGGGCGGGCCACTGCGAGTTACGAGTCTGGTTGCACCGCCAAAGCAGCAGCGCCGCATGGTGGGGGCCTTTTTTTTTTCTTTCTATTTTTCCGAATCCCTTTTTTCTCCAGTCTTGCCAACCCCGGAAAGACCAGACCGTCACTGGCAGTATACGTAGTATGTACACTACATAGTACAGCCACTCTCGGCCGTGCCCTGTGCCGACACCACGCAAACCACCAGAAGGGCGGTTTGCTGGCAGGCGATTGGATCGTCCAGGTCCGAGTCCCCTATCGTTTTGGATGATTCCATCAATTGGGTTCGACAGCCAAGCGGGCGTGGCCTCCCGAGTCGCATGGCCTGCCCTGTTTCAATCGCGTGGACTGTGCTCGTTTGCCTCGGGACCAGGAAGCGGCCCTTTCTTTTTTTTGGTTTTGGAGGAATTCGCCCTCGACGAGCGGAGGCGACGGCTTGCTAGGCCAAGCTGGGTCCGTCTAGACTTTGTTTTTTTGTTAAGAAAAAATCCCTGCATCCTGGGGGGGTGAGATGGAACGTTCAAACCACTTTAGCATTGAGGACGTCCGAATATGGTGTTGAGGCAGACTCTAAACTTTGTCCATCAGTATGACTAGGGATCCGGATAGAGTAAGCCAAAGCGGTGTCTTCCGCTTCGTACTACCTCACAACCTCAGCAGACACGCCCGCATACGACGGCTGGAAGCAGTCTAGAGGGGGAAACATGACAAGTGGCGAGACAAGCGACGGGGAGACAGGAAATGTTGGAAAGCCGAGAAACAAACGAGTCTCGGCAGCGCCACTCCGCTTCGAAATCACAGCCGCCATCAGCCATAATATAATACACACAACGTCCGACAACCTTTGCTTCCACCCACTGGTCCGTCCGTGAGCGAGTGTCGTGCGTTCTCGCCCTTTGTTCACCTCATGTTCGACCCCCCCCCCCCCCCCCCCCCCCATTCCAGAATGCTAAAGATAGACGCATAGCCATATCTGTCCGCCTCCTCTCCTCGAGACAACAAGCTCATCCATCCGGTATGCTGTCCTTTTCTTCATCCTGAGTAGAAACAAATGCAACCACAGCTTACCACCGCCGGGCTGAACCGAATGCTGCGTCCCCCCCCTCGGAAACAGAGAGGAAACAAACGGCTCAGATGGCACCAGGGCATCATACATTGAAAACATTACAGACCCCGGAAAGAGACATCTCACATTTTTTTGGTAGGTATGTCTCTCCACGAGCGTGACAGCTGATAGGCCACACGGACCGCCAAGGGTAGCCTGCTGAGCCACCAATCGGTGCCGTCCCCTTACATCCTCCCGCCGTGGATCCAGTACTAGCGCCACGAGCCCCCAAGAACAGAGCAGGACGGCTTTTGGCCGTAGCGCCACCACACGCCAGACACTATCATTGGCCAGTGCGTCTATATAGTATATAGTAGCAGTCGCATTCGCATACTCGTATCGTATGTACATAGTACGCAAGCCGATGGCGTCAACCCCACCTTCACATTGGGACAGAACCAACCCAGGGTCCTAAGAAACGTGGAAGAGCAAGAAGGGTAAACAAGGCACGAGGAAGCCCCAACTCGAATGGAACCCAGCGAAGAACAGACATGTGCTCCAGTCACCCTGCGTCCGTCCATAGTACCCCATCAGAATTATACTATGTTCATATAATCCATCCAAAATCGTAGCCCCCCCCCCCCCCCCCCCCCCCCCCCCCCTCGCCCATGATTCGTGAACCTCGAGCAACTCCCCCTCCCTTCTCTGAAAAGGCAACCCAGCACGCAGACCTCCGACAGTCCAGAAGCATATCCCTCCCCCTTCACGACAAAATGCCCAGCTCGCTCCGCTGCACCACCCCCCAAAACACACTATCAGGCACGCTCGAGGCACACAAAAAAAAAAAAGGGCCAAGCATCCTTCACAGCCTGACGCGAGGCCACGATCCCCCTCACTCCCCCCCCCCCCTCGCCTCGCCTACTTTCTCCGAGACCATGCAGTGTCGGTCATCTTCCTCCGCTCAACCCCGCCGGCACAACCCAACCCTCCGATCAGGGCCAACCTCTCTCCATTCGCCTTTGCCTGCCTGGAATACTGAAAGTCTCTCCCCGCATCCCAGTCCCGACGGGGTTCGTTCAACCAGAAGATCCCCGGGCGTCTCGTTTTCCGTCTGCTCATCTCATCTCCCCACGCTATTCGTGCAGGCAGAGGAGGTGGTCCCGTCTGATCACGACGGAGAGGTTACTCTGTATCAGCCTGCCTTTTTATCTGCCCCTGACCCCATATCATCAGTTGGTCTCGATTTCCAAGACTGCACATTTCAACTCACTCATCACGACAAGATGGCGGCTTCCACGTCGAGAGCATGTTCTCGCTTGTGAAAGAACGGCGCGCAGGCGAGTGAGATATTTCCATGTGTTCATCCGCTGACTATCTGGACTAGCATACAATGCCGCTTCCCGCCGTGTTCGTGGCGCCCAGTTACCTACGTAGAATTATAGCTCGCAAGCCGGACGCCGGCTGGCTGGTCCTCCCCCCCGAATATGTGTAGTGACGATCTGTAAGCAGGCCAGACCCTTCGTTTCATCTGCCTCCAAAGACTGCTTCGCTCGCTCTCTGAGCGCTGTAACCTTCCCAACAGTTGAAATACCCAATCATGCCATCATATGTGATGAGGACGATGCTGCTGTCCTAGTGCTCCAAAACGCCATAAACTCCTTAGAAAAAAAGAAGAAGAAAAAGAACGCCTTGATCTGTGAGTTCCCGTATGCCAAACCTAACCGTCCTAAAACCAAAATACAAAATCGTCGAATTATCTTGCAAAAAAAAAAAGGACCATCGTTGTAGGGCTCGAAGAAGATGCCTCGCCAGCCCCGAGTGTTCATCCGTTGCCGAGAGCACGACTACTGCTGTCCCCATTGAGTGCTGGCCTGAAGCTGAGCGTTGCCTTCGCCTGGCATCATACGCCGATGCAAGTCATCAGACGTGGAAGGAAGGCCAGAAGCCCAGGCGCCAGGGAGAGGCGCCGGTAATGAGCTTCGGTTCAGCGGGTTCGGGAAACTGGTACCGTGCCCTCCGTGGGAGTTGCCATGGTGCATTCCCTGTTGCAGGTAGGATGGCATTGTCGGCGTCGCGGAAGAAGACGTCTCCATGGAGCCGAAGCTGGGGACCTGGTACTGAGACGTGTTTCCTCCGGGAAAGGAGACTTGCGCAGCGGAGCCGTGGCCCGTCCGGGTTGGCGCATTTGTGTTTGACAAGTACGCCCGATTCGCGGCCGCGGCAGCATGTGGTCTCCGGTTGTTTTCGTGGTTGGTCGAGGATGAAGCACCGAAAGATCCGGGCCGCGAGCCGCTGGAGAAGGGCGGGGAGCCGGGTCCGCGGAGTGTGCCATGCCGGGGCCGAATCCTACGCCTACTTTCGCCACTGTCTGTTGGAGGCGAGCGACGTTCGCCATGGCTGGAGCCAGCTGCCGACGACCGGCTTGAGTCGTCCTGTGACAGATTGGCATCCCTTTCTCTCATGAAACCAGCGTATCCTCCGAGGCTCACTTGGCCACGGGCACGGAGCATGTTGTTAACGTTGGGGTTCGTCGACGTGATCCTGGGCTCATTCGGCACCTTGTCTCTGCAATAGGGACAGCTGTCCGAGTCCTCGAGCCATTTCTTGATGCAATGGTCGCCAAAGACATGCTTGCACTTGGGCAGCCGCAGTGGTGCCTCTTTCACCCCCTCCGGTGTCTCCACACCGAATTCATTGTAGCAGATGACGCAAGCTGGAAGCCATGTTAGTCTTTGTCATATGCTGGGCCGTTTACATGACTTACTTCTTTCGCTTTCGGGCAGATCGGAAATCGGCACACTCTGGAGAGACTGGATGGCCGATGACGATGCCACGTACTTTGTTGTTACTGAACCGCGTAGGAACTGGGCTGCGCGAACAGGGTCCATGTGATGATCGCCATCCACCAGTCGGCCTGCGCTTCCACTTGCGTGAATGACCTGCTCCATCATTCTCAACTCTCTTTCAGAATCCATGTCGCCATCCGACGGTGGGCTTTGCCTTCGGGACATGGTGCGACGGGGGTTTCCTGGGGCCCGGCGCAAGTTCGGAGGCACAAAGTTGCTGGTCGAGGTAGAAGAGGATGGCCCTGCGTAAGCGTGAGTATGGTAAGATGACGGGCCGCTGGCCGCAACTGCGTTCATCTCACCTGAAGGGCCGAGCGATTAGACCGATATGGCGAAAGGGGGAAGGTCGAGTAGGGTTGCGGTGCAGATGATGGCGGTGCAGACCCAAACTGGATGCTGGTACTGGGAGCTGGTGCTTGATTCGAGGTGGCTGTAGCCTCTGGAGTTGTGGACTGGGTTGCGTGCGGAGGTTCTGTGCTCGTCTCTGAGGAGTCCTGGGCGAGGGGTGGTGTTGACGCATTCAGCGAATGTGAAGCTGCATTGAAAGCACCGTTGCGAGATGTCGTATTTTGCCCAAAAGCTCTGTCAGGGGCGAACGAGGGCTGGCTCGTGGTCGGCTGGGTGGGTGCCAGGGGCGTTGAATGGCCGTATCTCACCGGAGGAAGTTGAGTGTGGGAGAAGGACGGGTGCATGGTCTGAGGCCCTCCCATGTCGTTGGGGGGAGCACCCGAATAGCCACCCAATCCGCCGCCAAAGCTTGAGGCCGGTCCGTGGTTGTAGAAATGAGGTTCCGAGGCCGAGTTCGAAGACCGATGTTGGGGCACCAGCTGTGGCCGGTGACCCAGCATGTGAGGGTGCCAGTGGTAGGGGGGCAGCTGTCCTTGGGGATGCCAGTAGTTCGCAGAAGCATGAACGGGGTCGTAGTGCATAGTTGAGCGGTGCTGCTGCTGTTGCGGTATGTTGGGGGGTTGCTGATGATGCTCATTTCGGTTGAAGTAGGGGCAGCGGGATCGCTGCTGTGCGTAGGGGGGCTGGCCTTGGCCTTGGCCCTGCTCTTGATGGTGATAAGCGTAGTCCATGGTTTCTTCCATGGCAATAAATGCTGCTGCTGCTGCTGCGGCTGTGGAATGAAGGACGGGCTGTATCCAGAACCTCCACGTCAAAGTTTAGTCGCAGTTGCCTGCGACGGATAGCCACGGCCTCTCTCTTTCACCCAGAAGCCCAGTCCTGTTTCATAGACCGAATTCCCTTGTTTGCACGCAGCTGTACGGCGTTGCTCGCTTGCTTTCCTATCTCTCGGAGTGCTGGTTCGATCGATCGGGAAAAGCGCTGGGGTCGGACGGGTGAGCGGTGGTTGAGAGACGTCGGGTGTCGCAGTGGGGGCCAGAGTGGTTGCGGTCCGCTGGTGACTCTCTCGTGGACTGACCCAACGAGGGGCAGACGTGCGTGAAGCTGGCGTGAATGGAGGGGTTCGGCCAGGCGTCGTTGCTTTTATCGGTCGGCGATAATCAGATACGAAGAACCTCTCAAGACTTGGTCTCTTCGCTTACCCATCGAGGTTCTGCAGCATGTGTCTGTTCTGATCCTCCACAAGAGTCGTCGTCGGGCGTCGCAGGGGAAAAGACGCTGAGAATATTCAATCCCAGATTCGGTGCACCAGTGACGCAAACTCGAGGCGCAAGAGTCAGGAAGTGAGGGGGGGCGCTGCTAAGACACAGAGCTGGGCCGCTGGATCATGCCGCATTCAGCAGTTGGTCGGGGTTTCGTAAAAGAGCGGGATGCAGGCGTCTCGGCTGGCCGTAACAGGTAAGATGCGGCTTGGGTAAAAGTGGTGGACTCTTGTTGCTGCACAGAATGCAAATGAACGACTGCCAGGCGTGCTCTTGTCGTAGTGAGCACCAAAGGGCGGTCTGTGTCTCTGTTCCGCTTATTCGCTATGTTGTCGCAGCGTGGTGGAAGAGTAGGGATGAAAGGAGGAGCGTGTAAGAGGATTGTGCGTGAGAATCGTCAAAGGTGGGGGATCGAGACCGAGGGATACCTTATATTGTATGTGGCCCGCGGCGTCGAGTATTGGGTGACAAGGAGGCCAACGAGGCAAAGTAAGGATAGGTGCGGACAACCAGGGCCAAAAAGAGGGGTGTCTGAATATTTCCAGGCCGCATACGTCGTGACGCCGATGTCGCCGAGCAAGGGATGTCGGGATGTCGGCGAGGGCAGGTGAGGCGATGCGAGGCGAGGCGTGGCCAGTCGAGTCGACTTGAGCAGACGGTAGAAGGTTCAACAGCCGTCGGTGGCCGTCGAGGAGGATCGGTGAGACGACGATGTGTTGGAAGTGGTGGTGGAATGGGAGAAGAAGAGACGACGGAGGGGGGAGGGAAGCTACGGCAAAAGAAAGAGGGGTGGGCAGGCCGTCTTGGTTTTGTATTTCGTCGCAGACGAGAAGGAAGGAACCTTGGGGAACACCAGGCACTAGACACCACTACTTTTTTTTGAGGAAAGGCGAGGTGAGGTGAAGCAAGGTATGGTCGGGTCAAGTATTGCAAGGTAACAAGGCAAAGTGTGGTCCGGTCTGGTCCAGGCAGACAGGCAGGGCCATGAGAGGTGCAGGCAAAGGAACAGAGACAATGGGGCCGGAAGGGAAGACGAACGAGGCCAGGCCAGGAAAGGCCAGGAAAGGCACCGCGAGCCAGGTGAGAGAGAGAGAGCGTGTGAGAGTGGGATTGTGAGAGAGACAGACAGAGCCGAAAGCCAAAAGCCCACCTCAGACCTCCTCACCTTTCACTTGGACCTCAGGACAGGCAAGATTGGCACTGGGGGGGACGAGGGATGACTAGGGAGCGCCTACATGTGCAGAACAAGATCAAGAGGTAACCGTAAAAGCATGCACCAAGACGAGACCGAATAGGTACGGTAGACTGGACTGGATCATTACGGCGGCTGGACTGAGGGGTGACTGACTGATTGACTGACTGGGCTGGGGTGGGACCGGGCATGGCTGCGACTAATTGCTACTATTACTACTGGTACTCCTCCTGCGGAAAATAAGTCCATGACCATGACTATGCCCATGCCCATGTTCCATGTCGAATGGCCATGTCGTTCGTTGCAGGGCGGAAGAGGAGCAAAAGAACTGTACGTATGGGCCGGATTGCTCTGCTTGCCAGGAACGGATTGGATTGGACTGGAGCATCCGGGGACCGAAGACAACGAAGCAAGCAGCAAATTGCCGTAAAGCAAAAGCACAGCAGAGCAGAGCAGCACCGCACACAGCATGGGATGGGCAGGGCGTGGCCTGGCAATGCGCCGCTCCATCAGGAAAGACGGCAGACACAACAACCCAATGGGGGGTCGGGAGCTATGAGAAAAGACTGGGACCGGGACGGCGAATTACCATGCTGTGAGAGGGCACCACACGCACGCTGGGGGGAGTGTAATATGAGAGTCAGAGTCATAGTCAGAGAGATGAGTGAACGAGCGAGCGAGCGCCGAGGACAGTCGCAGGGCCATGCACACCCGGTTCAGTTCCCATAGCAGGCCGATCCAGAGCCAGAGCCAGAGCCAGAGTCAGACCTCGTCCAACAAGACATATGTATTTCAACTTGCACTTGCACTTGCACTTGCACTTGACCTGCTTGCTGCATGCGACCCGGCTTATCCATCATCTCTCAGTTCCTCGTACAGATATATAACCGGTCGTCTTGGGGGAACAAGACCCAGGTGTCGGCGGGCCCGCCAGCCAGGTGAGTCCATGGCTCACCAAGAGCAGTACATGCTTTTGTGCAAATGAGCAAAACCGACCTGGGCTGGCATGGGGCTGGAAAGTAAGTAAGCATGGTCGTCCGGAACGGTGAAAGCAGCGTCAGCGGATAAGAGGACAGGGAAGCTCCGTGTGGTCGTCGACGTATGTACACCTGGCCGGGCGGGTGCGGTGGAGATGGCCCGCGCCGCCTGACGACGCAGCGAAGCTCATGCTGCTTACTGTATTGCTGCTATTGCTCTGCTGCTGCTGCTGCTGCTGCTGGCAAGGTATGTCAATGCTGCTGATGCGGATACCGGTCTACTAACACGGCGTCGAGTGGCCATATCCAGGCAATTAATGTACCTTGTGCGATGGCCCCCTCCCCTCATCAAAGTGTTCGCAGCGGTCTCTCTCCCACGTCAATGTTCCACTTGCAAGCAGGCTCGGCCCCAGTAAGTGCGTGGCTCCATTTCTTTGGAGGGGCCAGCTATGCGACATCGATTGCGCTGGGCGAGGGTTAAATGCGCAGGCCCTTGCCGATTCAGCAGGTCTGGAAGGGAAGCTGGAAGCGGGTGCAGAGAGGAGCAGAAAAACAAGCCAAGACATGAGTGATGAGTGAGGAGAATCGGGTCCGAGAGTCAGTGAGCTGCTATCCATCGCCCCCCCCCCCCCCCCTTCCCTCCCTTCTCTCGAGGGTAACCTTTTGCAGCCTGCCTGGCTTGTGCCCTGTCTGCGGTGAGCAGCCAAACGTGGACGAGAGATGAGCGACCTTACCAGATACGGGTAGGTAGCGGGTATGTTTGGACGCATTGTGTCTGTTCGGATCTTACGGGGGCGGGTGTCAGTGTCGGCGGCAAGGCACCTTTCGTCAGGACCTCAAAGAGTCGCCGGGGGACGAGGGACGAGGGGTGATACGCCCGGGTCTGGGTCGAGACGAGGTCACAAGCGCACAATGGGATGGTGGATGGTGGATGGTGGCGGTGGGCAGGCTTGATTACGATGGATGATGAGTCTTGTCTTGGGCCCTGGACCAGAAAGGTTGCCCTCTCTCTCTCCCTTCAACCACCCCATCAACCATGACCATGTAAGTCCGGTATCCGCAGTCGACCGAAAGTGGGTGATGGGTGCAGATGGCACCTGGAGGGGGCGGTCTGTAACTTTTCCATGGTGTCGCCGGGCTTTGTTGGACTGGAGTCTCGGAAGAGCTGGGAAGAATGCGGCAGGGCAAATAAGCTTGTCGAGGGGGACAAAGTCATCCATCCTCATCTTCTTCGGCCGTGTTCAAGCGGGCTGGAGGCCTGGAAAGGGAAGGAAAAGAGAGAGAGAGAGAGAGAGAGAGAGAGATGGCTACGCCCGTGTATCAGGAAAAGCGGGCGCTGACGGAAGGGCAACTGCATCGCGCCAGCATCAATACCTCTGCACACTACTCTTGTACCGTCCGTACCGGCAGCAGGCGCAGCAGCATTGGTAGCGACATTCTTGGAATCCGACGGTCTGCTGGGCGCTGGACTGAAAGCGGCCGGTGTCAGGCCCACCCGCTGGGGGTTCCCTCTCTGCCCGCTGATCAGACCGACAGAGCCCCAATGCAAAACTCGCTCCAAAAGCCTCACCCACCCCCATCTCCGCTGTAAACACATCGGGTCTCAATGCCGTGACTGGTTTGCGAGGACGGACCATTTTGTTGTTTGTGCCAGCGCAGTCTCCGTATGCCTGGCTTGTCATCGAGGCTGACAGCTGTCCATGGTCCTAGTCCAAGGGATGCGGCCCCGGTTCAGCAAACAGGCAGGCAAAAAGTGGACGAGAGGTATCTGAGATGATGAGCAAACGTCAACGAATCCATTCGATAGAGACCAAACGGAGTGTCCGGGGCGCGGGTGTGTGTGTGTGTGTGTGTGTGTGTCAGTAGGTTACAGTTGCGGTGCTGGGCCATCTCAGATGTGCTCACATGAGCTTTGCGAGCTCGGCCGGTCCAAGCAAGACATGCCGTTCCAATGTCGGTACCTCTGGAGCACTGGTCGGATCGATAAATACGGCCCGGCATCCATGGCCATCCATGGCTCATGATTAGACACTTTTATCGTCATTCCCTCCCATCGTGCTGCTGCCGCCGCCAGCTCCCCTCCCCTCCCCTCTCCTCCCCCCACCTGGCTGACTGGTTGGTGTCCGTCTCTCTCTCATGGGCTCCCCCCGGCTTCTCTCATGGCAGCATGGCCAGGCCATGGCTGACCGGGCTTGCAAGTCTTGCAGGACAGTGGCTGGTGGCCCTGTAATCACCGCCCACCGTCCGCCGGTGCCATCCAACCATGCATCCATGTCTCTGTCCGGCCTTCGTCTGGTGGCACCACAGACGCAAGCCGGCCTCTCTCTCGTCCAGCATCCAGGGGACGCTATTCGATGGCTAACGACGCTGGTGCTGGATTCTCACAGGTGCCCGCACCCGATGCGGTATCGCTTCCGGTGCGGGAGCATGTCTATCTAGGACCGTGCAGTGGCCCCTCTCGCCTCGAGCGCCTCTCTGCCCGGTCGGTCGGTCGGTCGGTGGTGGCAGGCTGGGCGAAAGTGCGACCAATACGCAACAAGGTAAGGCAGGCTTGTCAGGTGTTGGTGTTACGAAACCCAACCAAACTTTGATCAGCCAGTCGCACGCGCGGCTTGCGAGCCCTTCGCAGCACCAGTATGTTTTCGGCTCGTTATACATGATGAGCACCTTAACACTTCCATGTACCCTGTCCTGTCTGTTAGTCTTTTGCAACACGAGAGAGAGTGAGAGAGAGAGAGAGAGACAGAAAGACAGAACAGAACACGGCTGCATCGTAGCTTCTCGTCCAGCCATCGCCTGGGCCGCCTTGCCTTTTCCCCCTACAGGTGCTGTACTATGTATTCCATAGTCACCTCTCCTGCCGTTCATTAGTGGTCCTAATCTGACGACAAGAAGGAGAGACCCTGGACTGGCATCCGGACCGGGGCCCCGTCATCTCGGGCTTCCCTCGTTTGCAAGTTCGTTCGGTCTGCAACCCATCCGTCTTTAAAATAACCCTTCATGCCGCCAACCTCTCCTCATTCAATCCGTCGCCCAAATGTTTGTGGCTGTTCCGGCTTATGCAACTCACTCTCGCGCCGCCTCTTGACATACTCCTCCCAAGCTGACCGATCCAAACAACAATCTCCATCGCCCCCTTACGTTACCCGTCCTCTTCCCGGTCATTGCTGATGAACCTGTTCCTTTGACACCCCTTTTTGACAGCCTGGCCCCTCTGGCCGAACACCCGCCTTGACGCGCGAATATTTTCCATGGAGAGAGCCTGACAAACTCAGGATGCTGCGACGACCTCGCTCGTTCCTCACCAGCCCTTCAATCATGGCCAAAAGAGGAAAGCCCTAGTTGGAGCATCGCCCAGGTCGCCTAGCATAGCTCCCCTCGATGGATGCATGCACACTGGCTCCGCTGCGGAAGGTGACCGCCCCGACGGGGGTGCATCGGATGTGTATTGTCTGACTAGACGGGGAAACTGACATTGCAATATTGGCCACATACCGACGGCTGCCAGACAACTCAAGCGCGAGCACAATCCCGTCCACCTGGCCTTGTTCTCGGCAGTCCAGCGTTGCCTTCTTCAATCAACGGAGGCCATGGCCGTCTCAGAAATCATGCCAATCGCCAAATTCCATTCCGGGCGACCAGACCGATAGACCGCCGACTTGCCGGCCGGCAACCACTCTCCACCACGCGAGAACGATAACGATCAGGCGGGGGAGGGTGTCCGTATGGACGGGCGGACGGGCGAGCAGGTTATCTGCGGCTGGTGCAAGCCACCTCACCGCGCAACCACGTCTCTCAACACTTCACCTCTCCGTCGTACCTTGTGTGATCTCTCGGCGTTTTGCTTTCTTGAGCCTTTTTTTGTTTTATTTTACCATGGCTTTCCCACTCACCATGCCCCTTAAGCAGGCCGTCACCCAGTCGTAGGCAGAGTGGAACGGTAGAAGAGGGGCCGCGGGGTTCATATGTCCCGCCATGTTGAACCTGGAGCGTTTGTGCCGGGCCGCTCAAACTAAGCCCGCCGGCTCGCGCTCTTTGACAACCAACCACTGCCACTACCTCGGAGGCGCACCACCCGCCTCCGGTCATGCTGCGTCGACCGCATCAGCAATCAGCATCGCAACGCACTGCTATCAATCCTGGCTTTACTCGCCCGGGCCTCTTTTCTTTCCATGGCTCACAGTCACCACATGGCCTCTCACCCGCCGCAGTCGCTCTATTCATGTTGAAGCCAACGGTCTGGTCTGGTCTGGTCTGGTCTTGCTGACCGGCTTCAATAGACCCGAATCCCCATCCCACAGGCATTGAAACCGTATATTTATCCAGCCTGCGTTCCCGCATTCCACACTGGCATCCCAGCCAGCATCATACGTCATAATTGGCTCCAGCTTTCCCCCCTCCAAAGGAGCAGATTGTCAGACATGAGGGAAGGGCAAGGACCCCGCGGCTTCGTCCTGAGAAGACCCCGGCCGTGTCCCTGCTCCAAGACGACGAGAGGGCGTTATCCATTGGCTGGAGTCCTTTTTGGTCGCCTAACTCGTCTCTCATTCGCTTTTTGTGCAGCGACATCCCCGCGACGATCTCTTGAACCCTGGTTTGCGCTAAGATAAAGTGCACCGGCCAAGCTCGACGCTACCATTCTTGCCCGCTGCTTTGTCTCTCTAGCATTTCCCTCCGTCTTTCCACCTCCCTCCCTGCCCTTCCGGCTTGTCGCCTGACCATACAAACCTCGCCTTCATTTCACCTGGGTTTACCGTCAAGCCTTGCTGTCTTTTGCTTCAGACGTTCGTCTCATATCACTTGTCCTGCAGGGTTCCGGCATGTCTCCAGGGATGCATCGCTTTACCATGGCACCATTGAGTCAGGAACGTCGTCAGCGGCCAGGCGTGCCAATCCATGTCTATTATCGGTGCCCTATTGTCCACAGCACAGTGGTCGAAGACACACACACACACACACACACACTACCAGCAAACTTTTTCATCGGCAATAGTTTACCACACAAAACCACATAGTCTCAGGCGCCAGCTATTGGGAACCAGCTCGAAACCGGCCGGGTTGGTGTTGTCGCCACGCAGTTGAAACAACTTCAGTCCCTCCGTCTTGACCGCAACGTAAGCCCGTAGCTACAAGCGGTGGTGAAGCCTGTCGAACACTGTTAGGATGGACACGGACCAAACTCCCGCCTTGTAGTTCCGATTCTCTCGTTGTCCATGCACCGTCGAGTCGAGACGTATTTCGGGCTCGTGCCGACCTTGACTTCCATCCAAGAGCTTCATGGCTCACAAAGTTTCCAACGCCAACACAGCCCGCACGCTCCCTGGCAATAGCGTCCGCCTTTGACGTGGAGGGCTGTTGGCCGCGGACAAAATGTCGCAAGCCAGCAGGCACCTGGCGCCGTGACTGTTGGCCGTCGATGCTGGCTACTATTGTGACCTTGGAATAGCCTACCACAACACGATTAGAAGATATATTATCACCGCCTTTCCTTTGGGATCCTTGGGCTTTGGTTGGTTCGTCACTTGCACAACCGCTAAGTAGCCCACAACTTTACAACCACCCCCACCAGTCGAAGCTGAGCCACGCGACACATGCCAACGTTGTGTTGTATCGAGGATCAATTATTCCCCACGACTTACCCTTAACATCAACGACGGGTTACGCGACGAATGCGGCAAGTAGGCCCGGGGTTCGACAAGCCAACAAACCTTGCAAACAAAGAAGCATCGTTGCCCCGACCTTGCTGTAAATTATCTTTCCCAAACTGGCAGCTCGGGCTTTTGATTGCAAGTCGCCAGCTGCTAAATTAGCAAGGTGTTGGCTTCTCATCTTGCTCTCAAGTGTGGTCAAGGTCAAGTCGTTTATACCAATCTTCGGCCCGCAGACTTGTAGCCATCTCATCTCACATCAGCAAACGTAATCGCACCGCTGGATGCAACATCCTGGCAACGCCTGGATCGTCCTGCTCCAGCGCACATACGTGCTGTGCTCTACACGGATACAAACAAATCAACAAACAAGCTTCAGTGATGTATACCTACCCGAGGCCATCGGCTACTAGACGGCTCCATCCTACTATATCAATTTTTTGCCCCGATGTCAGGTCCGACGATGACCACGACGACGGCGACGGCTGACTCGGAACCATGTCTGAATAACACTTGGCGGAGCAAACAGGGAGAATGGCGAAGCCGGCCCCGGCCAGAAACCCCGACTGATGACGCTGGACTACGTTGCTTTCGGCTTTGTCGGCCCTTGACCTCTGCAGCGTCGCTTACCTCACTGCATCCTGGCATCACAAGGTCTGCAAGGGTGCGTTCGTCCTTGTGCGGCTGCTGCTACAAGCACTAAATTCCCCATATGTGATGATGAGCAACCCATCCTGTCCTACACCGATCCGAAGAATCAAAGTTTGCCAGGTCTGCAAGATGAGCTCATAGTCATTTTGTTATCGTCCTCTTTCTCCCTTTTTTTCCCTTCCCATGATAAGACTGCCTCTGTCTTATTCAACCACTTTGATATACGGCAAGAATGGCACGTTCTAATGAACCAACATGAGTGCACATGGCGTTTCCTCAGCATGTCAACGATGACGAAAGAACATGGGCTCTTGTGCCACGTCTCCAGCTCGAGAAGTGATGGAACCAGTAGGCAACAATACTGTTCCAATTAAACCTAGCGGATGATGCGAATGCCCGATGAGGGGCCACACGAGGTCAGGGCCAGGCGAATGTAATTTTGTATCCTGTCTCGATGTTGACGCTCATGGCCGCCAGTTCCGATGCAAACTAATTTCTGACAACTTATTCAGTCTCATGAAGGCCATACCTATCGAAACTGTCCATGGAGATAAAGGATAGAGATTGACGATGCCCATTCACAACAAACTGAATGGCATCACATCGTTCAATCTTGGGTTTAGGAGGTACGACGTTGACACGGGCTAGACACACCCGTTGACAAGGTCAGATCACTATACTGGCTGCAAACTCCCTAGCCGGAATATCAAGAGTTACAAGAGAATTACTGGGAGTGGTAGAACCGACTTCTGCAGACTCGTGAAGAGCACTCTGGCTTGCATCAGACTCTTTCTTCAGAGCTGAGCCTCGTTGCCGAGAACACCCAGGAGGACGAAGACCTTCCTAGTTGCTGAGCGTGAGTGGATGGGAAGCGTGACAGACGTACCGATTCGGATGTCCTTTTCGGGTCCGACGGAGATTTTCTCAACACAATATCGGTGTCGAATTTGACATCGCTTTTGGGCATCGATGTGTGGTATCGCCGGCGGCGAGCTCGGGCTGCGGACCTTGAAGCCGAGCATCCCCGGGCAGACATTGTTGACTTGCTTGGAGTCGTCGAAGATCCAATGTGTTCTTGCAGCCGGCATAGCCGGTAAAAGAAGGCCTCGAAGCCGACGGCACAGCTGACAAGGGCTCGTGATCCGGAGGTGATGTTGGTATATTATTGCTGCTGGAGGTGTTGCTGCAACAACGCAGATCCTGGTGCTGGGTTCCTTCGTGTTCTCAGCATGATCAGAAGAGATGCAAATTACATCACTGCTATTATTGCTCGGTAACATTTAATTATGTTATGGCTGCTTGGAGGGTTGTCGAGTTGCACGCCGGACCCCGTAGGCGGGCACCTAGAGACGAAATCCGTCAAGGTGGTATTTGCATCGAGCTTCGTGGCGGCCAAGACGATCGCCGGGCTGTATCCGGCATGCCACTCGGAACCATAACCGGCGTCTCTTCTTTCTTTCCTTTTTTTTTTTTTTTTTTTTTTTGAAAGTCGGGCTAAACAGTAAACAAGATTCTCTCAATGGCAGACACCGCTAGCAATGCCGTGATGGTGCTGAAACCGGCTTGCCAACGCTCCGCGCCCAGGGTATCTGTTTCCCGTCCCCTTGTTTGCAGCGAACCCACGCCCTGCGACCCGGAAAGCTCGAGATAGCACGCTCGCATGGGACCAGAGGCTTAATTACGAATGCTTATATTATTATCAGCCCCCCGGGGGCCTCGGACTTTTGGTGTTCAGCTTGGGTCCGCCGCTGCTTGGAGTTCAAAGAGGCCGGCAAATCTCTCGGGTATGAAACATCAGTCAATATGAACAGCGACCGGATGATAATGGCCTTTGACAGGGGCGCCGCTGTCCTACGGCAATTCCTGGCTGCAGTTCGCGATGCGGTTCGTTGCGTGTGCGTGCCCCTATCAGACGGATGGGGCCGGACGCGCGCATTGCGGTAGCCGGCCTGGCTATCACGGCCAGCGGGGGGTCGCATGCCATGTTTCCTGGCGGCGGCCCCGCTGATGTCGTATATTCGGCGAGAAAGAGCATCGTGGAGCACCGTGGGAAGGACGACTGAAGTGCCGACGACTGACGGCCGGTCCGGCGTTGTAGACATAGACATGCCACCGTTGTGACTCCCTCGACCGCGCTCTAATGCGAGTCTTTGTCTAGGCCAGCCTTTGCTTCCAGTTCCACCATGCTCGGTCTATAAGTCAAACAAGTAGGCACGGAACTTCTACCCAGTATTGTCCTGATATGGAGACCTGGTCTACGCTGCGGCTCTTCTTCCATCACAATGGCCATCATCTATCCTCCCTGGGCCCCGAACGCCCTGCTTGGAGAAATCACCAGGTCCCATATTGCTGACACAAAGCGGACCTGGAGTCTTGCTGCTATTTCTTGGGCCGAGCAGACGACAATGAAAAGCCAAAGGCCTCCCATCAACATCATCATGTCGACAGTGGATGGCCCGTCCGCTGGCTGTATGCTCGAGTATCGGTGTCCAAGGGAAGCCTGGACCGGGCCAGTATGCTCTAGAGCCCAGTGGCCCAGGTGGGACTCTTTTTCAAATCCAAATCATAAGGTATAAAGACGGCCACGAGCCTTCTCCGTCACTCATGACAGCGCAAAGGGCAACTTCGCGTGATGTTTCTTCAAAGAGATCGTGGTACACAACTCCAGAGATATACTCTCGAAAAGGATTCCACCTCGCCACGACCAGAAACCCACGACCTCGGCCAACTCTTGTGTTGACCACGTGAAACGCAGACAAACACGGCAGTCAGTTGCCGGAGACGCCAGACGGAAGAAGCAAGACGGCAGAGCAGGCCGGAATCAACGGCTCCGGATGCGAGAAACAGGGCCCTGGGCCAGATGCTCCGTCATCTCCCATTCAAAAGGGCACTCAGAGTCTCTTGGCCTTCTGAGCCTTCAGCATGAAGCTTGTTCAAGCTTGTTTCATTCCGGGGTGACCGGCGACGGGGCCAGAACATATCGTTGGTCGAAGTACATTTCGTGACCGGGACACAGGGGGCCCAAATGTTGCATGGACAGGAATACACAGCATACGGCAGAGATTGCGACTCGTGGCAACGTCGGACCCTGTTTGCTTGCTACTGCCCCTCGGCGCATGGGAGCAAAATATAGTACATGTGCTGGGCACTCGTGTTGGCGAGACGTGGACGGTCTTGCGCTGGCTTCATCACAATAGCTCGAGCGAGGAAAAGAAAGAGATGGGTATCATGTCTTGTATTGGGGGCGGCGATGTCTCTGCCGCCATTTACGCACGTCTGGTGGATTGGTTATAGGTTTCGACTATCTAAAGAGCTCGTCGTGCTACTCATCATTTCCGGAACCCAAACCAATACCGCCCGCCATGAGTCTGTCTCGCACGGGGGTAGCAGAAGACAAGTGGCCTTCATCTCATTTCTTGAGCAGCCGGTATTTGCCGCCCACCAATTCCAGCTCTTCCTCTGCCATCTTCTCCGCAAGAAATTCCTGCAACTCCTCGTTGCTCCAGGGGAACCCATCGGCGATCAACATCTTCATCATCATGGCAATCTGGCCCAGCGGCATCGCCGGACTCGAGTTCGTGAGCATGCCGACAATGAACTGCCAGTAGACCTGTCGCCGCTCCTGCTCCTTAGCATCTAGTGCGTTGGGCTTCTTGGGCGAGAGACCACCCGACTCAGGGGCAAGGGCCTCGTCCGGACCAGGTACGGCGGGGTTGGCCCCGCTGTTGACATCTTCATCCAGCTTCTCGAGAACAACATAGCTGCCCGGCTCCATCTCACGAAGGACACGCTGGCTGACCCAGAAGGAGATGGCAGACCGTATGAGATCGTCATCCATCTGGAGCATCTCTTCGAGCTGATCCACAGTGCGGCGCACGGGAAGCGGTCCATTGTAGGCTTCGTCTTCCTGAAAAGCGTAGATGACGACGGCCTCATACGTCTTGCACTCCTTCTCGACGGTCCTGTCTTCCAGCTCGAGGTTGACAGTGGCATTTCCGAGGTTGTTGAGCCATGTCAGCTTGCGAGAAGACTTCAGACGCTCGAACTCGCCATCGTAATGCCCTTGCACCTCCGCGACGGTTCGTGGAAGGATAAAGTGCTCCCGGTCCATCGTCGGCCAGAAGAGCCGAGAAAGAATCTTGGTATGGTACGACGGGAGCTCCTTGGACTTCCGGACAGGCCCACCAATGTAGCCTGTCCTGACCGTCTTGGAAATGATGGAATCGACTCTCTTCGAGTCTTGGATATCCTTGATCATGACATCGCAGTTTTGCAAGGCATTATCTCCAAACCGCTTCTTGAGTAGATTGAGCACCCGAATCTCTTGGACGAACTCGACCTGGGTGGACAACAGTCTCTCTGCAATGATGTTCTGGAACTCCTTGATAAAGATATCCTGCGAGCCCAACGCATTGATGAGTGTGCCAATGACATCTTCCGACTTGGGACGCTTGTAATTCACACCGGCATCCACAGGATCGGGAATCCATTCCATATCATCCCAGTCCAGCTCTTCTTCGTCCGTAGCAGGGCGCCTTTGTTGCGAGGGATCATTGAGTAACACAGCCAGCTCAACGAGCTTTGTTTTGCCTGCTTCGGTGTGAATATCATCCGGGCTGGATAGGAGCCCCGTAACAACGATGGGGATGGCATCGTCTCTCTGGCACAAGTAAAGCTGGAGCGAATGCACGACTCGGTCTAGGAGCACTTTGGAATGGTCCAGGGCATGGAATGTTCGGATCATGGAGATGTACACACGGAGTATGTCGAGCGTCGACCTTCCTGGGTGCAACAACCGTTTCTGCAGTGCTGCCGAAAACGTGTCCGTCAATTGTAACCGTCTTTGAGGTGTGGTGATGGCCATGCGGAGGTCATCCAGAGCTCCTTTGCTCTCAGGCCACTGCAGGACAATGTCGAAGAGCTCATGGATGCGCATGACAGCCAAGCGTCCGATTGCAATCTCCTTCCACTTTTCGACGTCGGTCCAAGCGATATCCCCGCTGCCAAGGCGAGCAAAAACTTCGACGGCTAGCCGCGAGTATTGATTCTCGACCCAATCGCACAATGTTGCGATGCAGCGTGAAGGTGTGCCGAGCTTTGTCGCACGAGAACCCGACGAGGCGCGCGGAGCATCCTTCCCGCCATCTGCTTTTGGCTGCGTCCAAACGCCAGCGAATGATGTTTTTACATGCTCAATCATCATGGAATCCATCAGCTCTGCGAACAGGACCTGGAATCTCTTTCCAGCAAGTCCCACTTTGTGCAGCGCCTCAATCAACTGCAGCAGTTCTTGCCGCGCTGCCGCCGCTGGCGCTGGTGTTGGTGCTGATGCTGCTGCCTGGATCTCCCCTTGCAGGTTGGTTCCCCGAGTTGTCCCGGAGGAAGACCGGGCCTGCATACCCAAAACCACCCTCGTCAAGCGGCCCAAGACAGCTCGAAGGGATTCCATAAGCGCCTGTGACATGGAGTTGCCGATGACTGCGTGTAGATCACGCCGGAACTTGTCGACGGCGATGTCTGCACGCTTGTTGTCTAAGCCCCGCACGATAAGGGATAGACCATACAGATACTGGCGGTGAGCCGCTTCCAGTGTATGGATACTTCCGAGGAGCACCTGGGCCTGGTCACCGTAGGTATTGCATGCAGATAGCAGGGGGAGGACATGTTGGGCAAAGTGGTGGCGAACCTGCTGGGTATGCCAGGAGAGGATGTCCTCGGTGGTGGTGGCGTGCTGGGCATGCTTCCCTGGATGGAGGACTAGACTAAGACTGTCGTAGAAGTCCGCATCGTAGTCCTGAGACTCAGGAGCCAGGGTGCCGAATGAGTCCTCAGCGGCCACCGATGGGGGCAGCTGGATACGAGCCGTCACCACATGCCATGCTCGATCCCACCTAACCTGATCGCTATTCTGGTGGGAAGAAGGAGCATGCGAGCGAGTTGAGGGAGGCGAGCTCTGAAGATCCGAAAGTTTGATACTGCTAGGGAAGCGGGCGCGCGACGGCGATTGCTGGTGTGATGGTGATGGTGACGGTGGCGGCAGAGCGCCGAATGGCTCTCCCTGTGAGGTGAACCTTTGAGATGGTGTCGAGTATGGGGTGGGCTGCGAGATGTCCGTGTCAAAAACGGACTTGAAGACATTCTGTCGTTTGCCGCTCCACCTGGAGGGCGCGTTCACAGTGGTGACCATGGCTGCGTGATGTCCACATTTGGATGTGCTCAAGCGGAAGGATTCAAGGCCTGCCGCATCGCGGAGTCTCGGCGGCGACAATGATGTGACGACTCAGTTAGGGAGGAGCAGAGGTTACTCGCGTTTGCGTTGTCTGTCGTCAAGTGGTCCCGCGTAGTGGTTGTTTGTTCATTCGGGGTGGTCGTGTTTACTTTGTCTGGTCGTGATGGTGGCGATGGGCCGATTAAGCGCTGCGCTTAAGGTGCGTGTTGAAAGCTTCAAATTTGGGAGGGAAGGCTTGAGCCTATCGCAGCTTCGCGCTTATTTCTCCTGCAGCTGGCGACTGGCGCTAGCGCGGCTTGCTGGTCCAGATGAGGGACTGCAACTGAACTGGAAGGGACGCCTGGAGCGAAAGAGGTGAAGCGAGACAGGCGCAGATTCTGTTGGTGCGTGCGGAAGACGAAAGCCATGTGTCAAGAAGTCCAACCGCACAGTCACCAACACCGTGTACTTCTGGTCCCCACCTCATCTAAACCGACGCCCTCCAAATTTATTTCCTCTGCTACAACCACCCCCCTTCTTTTCCTCGACTCTTCTCTCTTTCCCGCTCGCTTGTTTGCGGCACACTTCCGCGGTATCCCCTGCTCCTATCTAACCTATCGAGGCTTCAGGTGTCACCTTCTGTCCTCAAATCGGGTCGCCTGCGAGTTATCCAACACTTGCAAGTACCCCAGACCGTCTGTCTGCATCTGCGGACCTGCCTTCAACACGGCAACGAATATCGCCTCAGCATCGTTGCGATGAATCCAGCATTGTTCGCCCAAGGCGCCCGCACCCAATGTTCCCTGTCCTGTCAAGCCAGGGTGGGAGCATGTCTTCAGCTGGCATTATACATACGACCAGTGTGGGGTAACGAGGCAAAGGATCAAGACAAGCAGCCTCGAATCTGTCTTCACTTGCAGGGACTTATGCAATAGAGACAGGAGAAGACACGAGGTAAGGTGTTAGCACCAAGCGAGAGAAGGGAGGCTGTTGCAGCGAGAAAGTTGAAACGGCATCGGAGCCCTGAGTTGACATGTGCTGGAGGGAGGCTGATTGTCCGAAGTCCAGGTTCGATGTCTCATTCCTGTCCTCTCATCACAACGAATCATCTGGATGCTTTTCCAGCTGCTTGCCGCCACAAGCATGGACCCCACTTGTCCTACAGACTGCTAGCGACTAACTCCGTTTCGTATCTAGGCGCGAAGTGATTCTGGTCGGTGCGCAACATCACTAAGAATCTCAAACCCATCCAAGGAATCGCATCCAGACCCGACTATCAACGGGTCCAGTCCTTCGATCAGCATGGACAAGCAAGGTCAGCCCAAGCAACCGGTGATACGAGTATCTATGCCTACGGTGATACGCAATCAAACCCTAGCAACTGTCGCATCATCCGTGTATCTCTGTATTTCGACATCGCGCGTTGTCGGCTCGCCTGCCCGCCGTCCAGGGAGATTTCGCCGGAGACTAACGAGCGAATCGAGGCCTGGACGGGTCGATTAAAAAGTGGTTCAAACACCGACTCGCCGCGACCTTACCCCAAATGGGCTCCTAACATGACCGATCATAGCTTCACAGGACGTCAGGTTTATTCCTTCAAAGCGGGGGATTGCGACTCTGTGTGTCCGCGGTTCGGACAAGTGCAGAGCGCCTGGTCCGAGAGAACATCCGCCCATCAACATCTCGTAGCGAAGACGGCCTCACCGCCACTATACTGGATGGCGTTTATCGAGCTGGATGCAGACGAAGAGACGAAGCAATGGCTTCTTCTGCCCAAACATGTGCAAACCTGTATGGACGGCCAGCCGCCTCTTTTGACTCCATTGACTATGAGCCCAGGTACTGACAAATTGCGTGTTCGCAGTCCACCTGATCATAACGCCCGCACATTAGGGGTCTCAGCTCTATGGTTTGCCTCAACGCCCGCTCGAAAATGACAGCATCCGGTAGACGAGACATGCATGTTAAAGAGGCGCAGTATTTTCCATGGCTTCCATGTGAGCGTCTACTGGTGCCTTATGAACCAGTCCCTGTTCCCCAAGCATCGCTAGCTGTCGACAGGGACCGTTGCTTCATGATCCTTCCAACTAGCATTAGCAGTGCATCCGTGCTCCTAATAACGACATATAGCGACATCACACAGGTTACCCGCTGTGGACTTGGCCTCTTTGGGATTCGCAGGGCTGGTTTCTGAGCCGCCAGCCTGGAAAGAAGAAGAAACCAGACCGGTGTGGATAACGGATGGTATGTTCCCGGCCGGCACGGCAGTGAACCAAGCCATAAACCTTGTCCGTTTTCTACCACTCAACTGGGATCCAAGGGAATTCTGCTGCCTGGAGCTCGCCTCGATCCATCCATGTCGACGACCTCATCAGAGCTAGCGAATGCGCATCACAAACCGATGAGCGGCTACTCCCTTCCCTTGTAAACGTTTGGCACTGTGCACTATTATTCGGTCCTATTAGCGAGATAAGCTCAGTACCTGGAGTTCACTCAGTCGAAGTTCGAACCCGGCAAATGAAGGATGGCAGATTCTCAGACACACATCGGCCAAGGCGAATCTGTGCACCAGGCCAGTAAGTGGCTGGTACCTACTCGTCTAGCGGTTGCTAGTGTCTATCAGCGGTTACTGCAACTCTAGAATATCGAAGGGGCTCGACGGCTAGGTGGCTGATCATCTTGCGGCCCGCCTCAGGCACGATCAAGGACGGCTGAATCCTTCAGACCACGGTCTAGTCTGCAAAAGACGACATCGCCGTATGACGCCAGCTTGGGAGGTTCGAGAAAATTCTCGTCACCATCACAGACCCCAGAAGTGCAGAATGTAGCTTTAGGTCAAGCTGTCTTCCAGCATCTCACCCGAACTGCTGCGCCTACTTCGCTATCTCGACCGTCGAATCGCAGGTGCACGTTGAGTCTCGAAGGAATCAAGTTGCAGCTCGCATGACAGCCAATAAGAGCCAAAGTACACTACGTACTGAGCATCGTCGAGTATTCCAGCCAATGATGTACGGAGATGCAAGAGAGCACAGCACACAGGAGCCGTTGTGGCCAGTTGTCGAGCCCACAGAGTGGGTCGTCCCGATGCAACCTCAACTCGAGAGGATTCCCCACGGTGGTAAGGTACGGATCCCCTACCTTACCGGGTCTCTGGAGTCGTAGCTACGTACTCTGTACAAATGAGAAGCTGGTGACAGCTTACGTAAAGTTTTAGAGGTCGAATCTCGGCCCCCAATCTGCCACGAACGGTTGGGGGAGCCTCATGTGCTGGGTTATGAGCAGTCTAAACGCCAATCCGTCGGTCGACATCACTGAGGACGTCAGCTGCGGCTTCAATCAGTGTGTGGTTCTGAAACCCGAGCCAGTATGAGCTTCGCAACCAGTGTCAATGAGACCGTGTAACTCAGGGGCACAACGCCAGGTCACATAGCTGCGTGCCACCATGGGAGAAAAAGAAACACGCTTCCTGGTCTCGTGCAGGCCTGCTAGCAGCAGTCTTGTCATTTTCCCCTATAGCCGACGGATCCTTGGCCTGTCGCAAGATTTTTATTGTTTGTGCCGAGTCCTGCCCCTCTCGGTTTCTGTCCCTCATATTCATTTGCAATGCAAATCGTCCTAGAAGTCCTAGCTGTGCCAGGGGTTTGGGCCACTGCTTGCGGATGCGGATGCGGGCAAAGGACAAGGCCGCGCAAGACGAAGGCCGGAGGAGAATACCGACATGCCCGACATTTCCATGGCCCAGTCCCCCGTTCGCAGACATTCCCCGACAGGCGTAACGGGGCCGACCACGCACGACCGCCCGGGACTAGGGTCGACTTGCCACGAGCTTGGGGTTCTTTGCAATCCAACTGGGTCCATCGGCATGTTCATGTGGAGCATGAGACCACTCTAATGACTGCAATCTCCCCTATGAAGAAGCTCGAGTGATTGATAGAGCCGTCCGCCGAGGCTAGCATCCTCTAGCACCAGATCACAGCCCAGGGGGGTGGAGTACGTCGATTGAATCCGTAAAACCCAGACAATTATTCGAACCTGAGCATCCATGCTTTCGCTGTTTGAACCCGAACAGGCTCGCCGACAATCGAGGCAGAATACCGCCACTCCAATAACCTGGGAGATTGGGTCCAGAAAATAAGGGAGGATGGTCCATTTCTGTGCGCTTCAGATCAAAGGCACCTGGCACCCTTGTCTTCACGCTTTTTGAGTTCAAGGTAGCTTCTCATCGGGGACCAGCGTCTCATCGGCGACCAGTTTATCATCGGGGACCATTTCGGGTATCATAGGGACCTCCATCGATACCGACCCCCGCTTCTTCCCCCACCCCCGTGTCGAGTCTTTGCACGGGTGTGAGTCCCTCTGTTATGGTCGTCGACCTGATTGCCAAGCTCCTGCTGCCCCGTTGAACAGGATCTGTAGCTAGCGAGCCCTAGGCGGGGGTCAGGGGAGGCTGGCTGGGTCTACAAAGGAACGAAGCACAATTCCCGACACGGCGGATGCAACTTCGGAGAATCCATGAAGAGGCGGCGGGGGATACATGGGAAGTCGCTCTTGCCTCGCCCGGAAAAAGAGCGAAGCAAGCCAGAAGAGTCGATGCGTGTTGCTTCCAGCTGACTGGTCAAAGTCTGACATGATGGACAGCTGAACTCGACTGATTGTTCCGCAGAACAAAATCGGCAACAATATTCGTGCGCGCGGCTTACGGTACTTGACTTCGTCCCTCACTCCAATGGCTCGGCATTCTGCGGCATGTATATGCTTGATTTTCGATGCAGGCGAGTTGCGAGAGATGACCTCAGATTCAAGCAGCTGCTTCCCCCCTCATTTCTCTCACCTACGCAAATGGGTTGCGGATAGCCAATGGTTCTCACACCCCTTCCCGTAAAAGCCGCTTATCTCCACGCTCCCAGCTCCCTCCCAGGGCGTTTCTCCGCAAGCCATGTGCCTCATAGGGCAGAGCTCGGAACTCGGACTTTCTCAAGAAGCGTCGGAGAAGAGTAGCGGATGGGTGTGTATGAGAAGTCATGTTGCTGCAACTTTACGAAAGCCGTTGAGAGTACCTACGTGCTTGGCAAAAACTGAGGTTGCAATAGGTACCAACATTTGGCCCTTGCGAGAGTTTCGGGTAGCGACTTGAACCGTCGCTCCACCCCTCCGATTTTGGGGGCGGAGAGTCTCCGACAAACAGGCCAAGGGGTTACCGGGTTCATCGATGGAGCCCAGCAGAGATTCGGACGAAAGCTCGGGACCGAAAGCCTCAATGGCCCCTGAGTGAGTACAATGTAGGTCGAACATGGGGTTTTGAGTTGATGGGATATGCACGTCTCCCGTGAGAAGTGGCCATGAAGAAAAGAGACTACTTTCTGTTTGGACGCAAGACTACTGCTTCTTCTTCTGATGCTGCTCGGCTGACAAGTCACAACCTACCCTTAGCACCACGGAAGCCGGGAGGGACTCGCAGGTTTGGTGAGCAACATACATACTTGGCGGACCAGGACCTCGTATCCACCGCCGTGGAATTGCCCTATACCTCACTCCCAGGCAAGTCTCTTCTTCACTCTTATCCGCAGCTTCCCCCCTGTCTCTCCCCCATGTCCATCGGATGAGGGCTGGCTGGCAGCGGCGGGGCCCGCTGTCAGTCCGGGCTGCCCAGTCATATCCGATTACACTACTTTGCTCGCTCTCCTCGCACTCGCCAGTCAACTTTTCCGCCACCGGCCCTGCACACCAACTGGGTGGCACCCACGACGTCTTCAGCTGCACCACGTTGCAAATGGCTCCTCAATCCCACGTTAATCTCGGCCTGCGCTACGTGTATGCGTGTGTCTTTTCTTGCATACGGAGGATGACACGCCCTTGACGCAGCACCACTTTGCCCAATGCACAAGTCTCCCGCGCGGGTGCCCACAAAGAGGCGCGTGGCCGCCGTCGAACCAACGAGAGACGCAGGACAATGGCAGAGGATAAGCGACGAGGTTGTCATCCTCGTCATCCCAAGGACGAAATATGATCAGCACCAGCAATGACAGCCGCCATGTGCCGCCGCCGCCATCGACCGCCCGCCCGCTTGCTATTCCTTTTTGCCCAGACGACCCGTTCCAAGTCTCATACGGCAAGGAAAACAGCTATCCTCTCAACTCAAGGAAACCCGAAAGAATTGTTGATTCGACCTTATTTCGATGCCTAAATAGAGGCTGGTCGCATCGCAACGCCCCTCCCCGCAACCCCAAGACCAATCATCGTCGGAAGCCCTCGATGGACGTTGAACCGGTGATGGGCGCTCATTTGGGGCACTGTAACCTTCAGAACCCCTACGACTTAGGACCCGTCCTATTTCCATCGCGGCTGTGTCCAACCGGGGAGGGGGCGTGGGAAGGCGGGGGAGCTATCCGTACATGCGTTCACTTTCCACCTTGAGCTATAGTACGTACCTTTCCTCGCTCATCTTACTTTCCCGTCCCCTCGCGTTGTTCGTTGTTTTCTTCGTCCATCGTACGGTGGACCAGTACCAAGCAAGTTCCATTATGAGCCTTGGGTACGGACTCCTTGCTTTTGCCTACGTTGTGCTTGTGCCCTCTGTCTACCTACAGTGATGGGCTTCGGGCATGCTGGTCATCCATAGCGAACCCCCTTCCTCCCCGCAACCCATTTGCAGGAGACCGTCGTTGCCTTGACCAAGCTTGGGTTATCTGCGGCGACGATCGCTACCCGTTGCTCCCACAGAGCCCCGAGCCCGGGTCCCAGGTACCAAGTCCCAGGTTCAGAGCCAGAGCCAGGCCCAGGTCTGTTGCAACGGGAAGCGGGTCTTCAATTGCCCGCCGGGACTAAACTGAAGACGCTTTGGTTGAGTCGGTTGGCCCCTCTTGCTTTTCATTCGAGATGGCACAATGCAAGTCGCCATCCCCGTTTCGGCCGCCACGTCCTCCATCTCCCTACCATTCGCTTCGTCTGCGAATTCTTCACCGAGTGCATCACTAAGCCCAAAGCGGGCTGCACAGTTGGGATTCTCGGGGCTTCATGGCTGTCACGCCTGTCTCGTTTACCTTGTTGATGCAACGTTCGGTGCCTCTACTGCCGTCAATAGGGCAAGAGTTGCGATGAAACCAGATGGGACGCTGAGAAGAAATCCAAGTCGCCTCGTTAGGGGTCTAATCTGCGTGTCCGCTTCTCGTTCCATCTCTATCTGGGCGCCGATCCTACGCCAATAGACCCGTCCTTTTGGTAAACCATTTTTCGACTCCACGGGTCCTCAACGTTCCACGGCAGCTACTTGCACCGAGCTTTCCAACGGCATCGTTTCTGCCACTTTGCCTGCCGGTTTCCACTCGCGCGACTCGTATATGGAGCTTTATCCCGCCTTTTCCAAGTCATGAAAGGCCTCACTCATGAGATCCGCAAAGATCAAAGCTCTGTGCTGGTTCCGCGCCGTCTGGGTCCCGGCACCAGCGCCAGGAGGGGCCCCTTTCCACCAGTACCAAGAAACCCCCCAAATGTCCCGTGGTATTATCGATTGCGTTGGGTTATGGTAAGCGGTATGGCCTGCTGCGCGCCCGCTGCCGGGTACCAGCGGACGCCTTTACTTACACGTGGATGATTAATTGCTCCCGCCGGTCTCCTAGCATGATGGCCCCACGATCCGTGGGACTCCATCGCTGGGAACTGGGGGCCTCCTTGGGTCTCTGCTAGATGCCCCTGCAAAGGCCGGATAAAGCACGTCTGGTTCTACGCCAAAAACTCCGCTGGACTGATGTTGACATCACTGGGAAGCCCCCTGGCTCATAGCTTACTTGGCGCTGGCGCTTATGCAACAGCGTCCCCTCCCCATGAACGGAGAGCGACCCCGAGAGCTAGGACCTCCTTTGTATGGTCGCTAGAAACGTCGCCACCCTCCTCCCCTTTCATCCAAACCTTGGCCGTCCGACATCCAGCCCTCCATAACCCGTCGTATCTCCATCTGACGGCTCGACAAAAGATCCAACGATATCGGATGCAGAGCGACAGTGGTGTGAGTAGGAGTCCCATTTCTTGTCTTGTTCCCCCCCCACCCGACGCCTATCACGGAGTACCGCATCGTCGAGGCTACCACCATGCCGTGTAATCGGACCTCCATGCCAAATCTCGTAATCCTTCCCAGCAATGCTTATTGTTCCCTCCTTTGGACCAAAAGGGGGCCCTGCTTTCCCGCGACCGCTTCGATATGGGACCCGGCGTTGTGGCGGCCGCCAAACAGACAGATCCCCTCCTCTCTAAAATTCCCATTGTTTGGGATGGCAACCATGCCGTCCACGGCCTTAGCTTGGATTTCGGGTTTTTGTTAGGGTAGACGTTGCGGGCTGCCGGGTGCGGGCAATACAATTTCAAGATTGCCAGGGGGGGGGGGGGGGGGGTTCGAGCTTTTTCATGTTGCTTTTTTTTATCCCGCGTCAATTTTCCTAGGTTGCATTGCTGCTTTCACGTGTAGTCGGCACCCGTTGATCAGGAAGAGGTAGGTCACATTTGCCCATGACGTACACTGCAATCTTAAATGCTCCAAGGCAGCAGGAATATGTCCATTGATAGTAGCACTATGTTCCAGTGGGTGTAATGAGCACCATGTATAGGCAAAAGATGCGTTTCTTTGTGACGCTAGTGAAAGGGTATATTTCCAGAATGGTGAAATCGAAGAAGATGAAGGGGCGGGGGGTTAGGGAGATTGACCTCTTCCGCCCCCCCCTTCTCCCCCTTTAGCCGTTGTCGTTGCTGTTGTCGTGGTGCTTTCTTGGAGAAAGCGCAGAATAATGTGCCCGTCCAATGCTGAAACAGAAAACCACCCTGAATCCCAAGCAAGAGAGATGGAAGAAAACAAATAAAAGAAAAAGTGGACGACTAAACACGAAAACCCCGCGAAACAAACTCCTGCTGCAGGTTGTGCCGAATGTCGGGAACATTTCGGGCAACCCTGGCTGATGTGACTCCGCCGCCGCATCGGCGTTTTTGTGGCCTCTCCCTCTTCTTCCGTTCCTCCCAATGGAAAAAAAAAACCCCAAAACGAAACAAGCCAAAATAGAATAAAAATAAAATAAAATAACGCCATCCTCCCTAAACATGTACACATCGAATGGTAAGACGAGGGGGCAAGGGTGACCCCCGGTAAGAAGCAGGCCGTTAAAGGGGACTTTGGTGACGCTGCCCGCCGGTTGTCTGTGTGGCTGGTCCCGTTGGTTTGTCGATTGGTTCCAGGTCAGATGTCATACTGTCCAACCAACATCTACGTGTTCCGGCGCTGCTGCTGCTTGCATTTGTCGTGGAGGAGGTGGCCGTTCCTCGCCGTCGTCCTCGTGAACTCGGCCCCGCAGTTGGGGCACGTCGCCTTGGCGGCCTGGCCGGACTTTTCCCTCTGGTGCCTCAGGAGGTTGCTGAAGGTCGAGAACTGGCGCCCGTTGCAGCCGTGCTCCCAGCACTGGGGCTTGGGACGGCTCTGCACCACCCTGACGTGTCCCCCTTGGTCCGGGGCTCCGGGCCCGCCGCCCATCGAGGGCGGTACGCCGTACATCATGCTCGGGTCCTGTCCAACGGGCATCTGCGGTCGGCTTCTGCGTTGGTTCTTTGTCAGTTTCAGGTCTTGCACCCTTTCCCCATCCGGTGGCTGACGTACCCGTATTGTGTTGGTTGTTGGAACTGGTGCGAGTAATCCATGCCACCCATGCTGTAGGCCGGGGCCATTGGCGGGTACCCGCTCTGGTAGCCGTGGTCTGACAAAGGCGGACTGTAGGACGGCAGGTATGATGATGATCCCATTGTTGTTGTTGGTTCTGCGAGCAGGGAGATCGGGGCTGGTGCTGTCGTGTAGATGGGGACGCCCATCGTGGACGATACGTCTGGAAGGCTGAGTGGTGGCGAGTGGACGTATGGGTTGCTTCCTGCCCTCCGGACGCGCTGCGATGCTTTCGAGTCCCGGCGTGCCATGTCCCTCTGCTTCTTCAGCTCTCGTTGCTCCGGCGTCAGAGTCCCTCGCGGCGGGCTCGCTGTTACTGATCTGGATCCACTGGGAGGTGTGAGGCTAGCGTCTGGTACGTGCCCGAGGGATGAGAGGTTGTGGCCGAGTAGTGCTCCGCTTGATTCGCTGTTGTCGAGGCCTTCAGGGCGGTCGTGTTAGAAGACCCGAGGGGATATGGAGAAGGGGGGGAAAAGAAGTTATTTACCAGGCCAGGTGAAAGATGATCGGCTTCCCATAGTGAACGAGGGGTCAAACTGCATAGCAATAGCGCTGAAGGGGGAGAGATGTTAGACTGGATTTATAGCTCGGAGTGGATCAGCACTGGGGGCGCACCTCATGCTTGCTCCGGTTCGAAGTGATGGAGAGGACTGGTTGAGGGAGTAGTCCTGGACAGGGTCTACTCTGACAAGAGGGGTTGAATCCGAAGTCTGATGCACCTCGTGTTCGTTCCACTCTGCATTCAAGATCTCGGGTGGTAGAAGGGGGAAGGGCGAGTATCCTTGTGGGTTGGAGGAGGACAGGAAGGTGGCCGAGTTGGGCGGGTTGGGACTGATATAGCCGGAGGAGTGGAGAGCCTCAGACCTGACCGAGGGGCTGGACTCTAACGGTAGCGTTCTGGGGGAGTCGACTAGTTGGATGTTGGCAAACTGAGCAGCAGTAGCTGATACGCGGCTCCCTGCTCGAGATCTGGGCGGAAGTGAGTAAGAGTCCTCGCAACCCTGCTCAGAAAAACTGGAAGCCATTGATAAAGAAGAAGGACGACTAGAAAGAAACTCTGGATGGCACATACGGGCGAGTTTGCTGGAAAGAGGTCGATGTCGAGATGTGTTGTTGGAGTTTGTATGTATGTCCAAGCGTCGTCCGCAAGTTGATGTAAGGTATCAAGCCAGTGACGATGTTTGACAGCCGGAGACCGAGATGGACTTATAACGGGACCAATGCGATCAGGCAACGATGTTGAGATCTGGAGAAGGAAGGATTGCTTGCTTGCCGGGTGGAGGCTTTCGGTTCAACGAGATCACGGATGCTAAACTTGGATATCATCAGAAGGTTAAAGATCTCAGCCTCACAGGTCCAGGCGGGCACTGTCTTATAAATGGCAAGTGGGCAGTGAAAAAGATGGTATGGTGGAGTTAACAGCCCAGATCCCGACCTCTTGACGTACTCTCTCGGTGCATGAGGAGAGGGAAAAGGCGAGAGACGAGCATGCTCGAGGAGACAAGCTACACCACATGTAGGTAAGTCCAGACAGTGGGCAGGGGTTCAGGGAAGAAGAGAAGATGGGATTGAGTGACCAGGATGGGGAAGAGAGTAAGGTACCAGCGCCCATTGTGTGAGGAGGCGTGTGGCCTAACGGCGACCGGGGGTGTGAAAAGGGGTGGTGTGGGTGAGAGGGAGAGGCGTGGATGAGAACCGCTTGGAGCTGGGGGGCGTGTAAACGCAGGTGAGAGCCTAGTGCGGTGTGGAAGAGCGAAAGAGCGCAAAAGAGGTGTGCGTGAGGGAATGAGCGCAGTGTACGAGTGTAAGAGTGACATGCAACAATTAGGACCTGGGGGAGTGAGGCTTCCGGCTGCTAGAGGGGAGGGGATGATGGGCAGATGGACACAGTGGACAAGTGAAGAAAGACATGGTGCTGTGGCGGGGACGGGGAAGGGATCGATAGGCTCCAGCATTTTCTGCAATAGCATTGGCAGTCCGCCGCGAGGTCGCCCCGGTCGGTACCCTCAACGTCCCTGCTTGGGATGGCTGCAGGGCGATGGCTAACCCGCACTAAGGCATCATAAGGCAAGGCAAGGTAAAAAAGGTGTGGGATCAGAAAGGACGGATGGCATCGCTAGACCCCTGGCTGGCCCCTCGCTTGAGACAGACCACCTGGTTCTGGGTCTGTCTGCTACGTACAGGGACGGATGTTGGCGACCTGGAGCTACTGGAGCCCGTACCAGCCGGTCTGTGACCAGAGGAGAGTGGATAGCTTTACTTGATTTTACACCGTATTCCCGGTTGAGGCAGCGGTTTCGACATCGTCCTGGAATCAGGGCCGTGCCAGCATGAGAGCGCCCTTCGCTCGCGCTTGTAGTGTAGGGCAGCCGGCGATTTGCAAGCAGCGAAGAGTCAGTGGGAGGCATTGTTGCAGGCGCGTAGGGGAGACAACTGACGGGAGGCAAGGTACCGCGACGTTGGGATGCTGGACCTGGGTAGTGTGGGCTGGAGAAAGGAGCGAGTGGTTTGTCTTGAGTACTATTCCGTGCGTATGCCCCCTTCAGGATGATGTCCAAGGTGCAGCAGTCGACTAGACATTGGACATTGGACCCCAGGACATGGCAGCGTTGGGCCGGGAGCCAGTACGTCGGGACGGCGGCTTTGCGTAGCAAGCCTAGCCCGGTACTGGCCAGGGCAAAAACATGATGCAGGTGGCAGGTTGGTTGGCCCGACGGGCTGTGACAGTGCTCTCCAACAACAACACAATTGAATGTCGTTTCTTCTTCCGCTCGTTTGCCTCCTTGGCAGCGGCGACGGCAGCGCCAGGAGCTGGGGAGCACCGGCGGCGAGCCCCCGACTGAAGATAGAAGAAAGGGCTGTCCGTCGGGAGAAGAAAACCGTTTAATGAGCCACTCAAATGCCAGCTTCTGGAAACGGCAGCTCGGACAGCATCCAAGACCGGCGGGTTCTCTCGAATCAGGGACGAAGGATGCACAAGCCAGTCAATACCGCAGCATCGCAGCATAACAAGATGCCTGTATAGGTAAGGTGGAGAAGGCAGGAATGGAGGATATGGGAAGACGGGATCGAACACCCTAGGTGGTAGCCGTCTCCATCGAAATGCAGTCGACGTTCAGTAGAGAGATTGACCACGAAGAGCACACCCACGAAAGCGGAGAGACGGAAAGGGATGCACGGATACAGCAGATAGAGGCTGGATTGACAGAGAAACAAAAGGTGCGGGAATGGTGAGAAAAAGGTACATGGACACCTCCAAAGACTTGAAAGAAAGGATCGAAATCCTTGTCGTTGCTTGTCCTGTTTGCGGTCCCCCCTCTCGGGCATGGTGGTGGAGTGAACGTGAGCAGAATGGCTGAGACCAGAATTGGGGAAAGGAAAAATAAAAAGGGCCAGGGAAATGGAGCCGTCGTTCGTCGTCAAAATCGGAGTGGGGACGGACGGTACGCGGTCTGTGGGAGAAGAGTACGTACCCATGAAGCTCTGGGACGCTAGTCTAAAATGAACTAGTCAGATGCGCATCCCCAAAAGCCAGGAAGAGTAAGGCACGGACGCTACGGCACAGTAGGGCAGAGCAAGGTGTTCGTACAGCTACCTACCATCTCGAGAACGGGGATGGGACGCCAAAGCAAAGCAAAGCAAAGCACGAAGATGAGGGTACCTTGCTTTCCTTGGCCTTACGAATATTCTGCACGTACGGATACGGACTGCTTTCTTACATTGGACTGACCGCTTCGAGGACACCCTGTAAGATATCGTAGAGAGTCAATCGCAGTCCGTATCCACAGTCTTAGCATCATCATCAAGATAGGTGATCCCAGCGGGGAGAACACGAACATGGTCCCTTTTGCTCACTGACAGACCCCGTGAACCCTGCCAGAGATCGGCTTTTTGGTCTTTGTCAGCTCCGAGTCCGTACCCGTCAAAAGACACGGAAGTCAGAACACGGATACAGGCGAACACTAAAGCCCCGTACGTAAGTCGCACACATGACACGCATGGATTACCAAGACATTACCATGTCCCCGTACTTACCTCCATCTTTTGATCCGAAGGGTACCGCAGCGGCAAACGGGACCTACTTTGGCTCGATTTAGAAGGTTAGACGAGCGTGTGGGAAGTCTGCGCCAGGGTAGCCGCAGTGGGTGCGCTACGTGCGCTAGGCGTTTTGCTGTCCAATGCCCAAGTCCCAAGCCCAAGTGAGTGGTGTGCTGGTGTATCGAATGTCTCGACGACTGGTGGCGGGCGTTGTTGTGTGCATGTGTGTCTGTGTGTGTCTCTGTCTTCTGGGCTGTGTGGTGTGTCTGTGTGTGTCTCTCTCTCTTTTGGTCTGTCCCCCCATCCAGCTGTGTGTCTGGTTTACGTCCATCACCTGTTCGTTCCTCCTTGGTGACGCCTACCTTTCTTTTCGTCCAGTTTAGCTGCAACTGGCCCGCCTTGGTTATTTCGGAATCATTTCGCGTTACCTCGGGCGGCAACAAATGCCCTTGCTGATGTCGGCAGGGATCTGGGTAACTCTTCCACGCGGAACGAGCAAGTAGCGCGCCCGTCAGCAGCAAATCGCAATAATTCGTTTCTTTCCTTGGACGCCACACTGTAAATACCAACTGGCTGAACATGACTCTAATTTTGTGAGTGGTGAAAACAACGTATGCGCCTCGGCTTATCCTACTAATCTCGAGTCTCACCCGCACTCAGCTGAGCTCTGCGCTGCTTCACCCTCCCTGCCCTCCGTGCGTGTGTGCCTCACCTTGTTTTCAGCGACACCAGGTCGGGCGATCAGAGGCAACTCGGCGTTGCTTTCTTAGGTCTTACGGAGGCACATTCCGCTCCTGTGGCTGGGCTGACTGTCGGACAGGAGCGTACAACGAAAGTGTCTTGATCGGACGGCCGTCCTTTTCGTTTCTCTCGGACTGGAGAAGTAGGCCCAAACCACGCCGTCCGTCGCCCTCGCATTTGATATCATAAACCAGCCCCACTGACACTGGTAGCCCTTTCAGTTGCTCCAAGGTCGACGTCTCGAATGCTACCTTGAGCCCTCTGCTACCTCCGTGGGACCTGCCATGTGAGTGCCAAGACCTGGACCGTGCTCGACCGGTCTTTTTAGTCATCATCATCATCAACATCATCATTTGATCTGCACGTGGAG